TTGATATTTTCAAATAATTTGATTATGACTGAATTTCTTTTTGTTATTATCATTAATTGCGTTTTAAAATTTCTACATTACTATTGTTGTTGTTGATGAATTGTTTAATTTTCGAAAAATTACATAAATTTTGTAAGAATTGATTTTATTTTTTTATCGAGGAGCATGACATGTTGATTCAACTAAAGATGGCTGAAACCAAGCGTAAATTAAATAAAATTTGGATTACGGTCCATATTACCCAAAAACCGTCATTGAATGCCATTGTGTAATACACCGCTGGATGCAGGACAAAAAGTTATTTCAAATAATGTTATAAAATATCCAGGTCCACATTTAAAAAAATAAGTTGAGGGTGGTCTGGAGAATACGAAACGTTGGATGCAAAATATGAAAACGTCAAATCAAAGAAAATTTACTATCAAATAAAAAACATTTAAAATTTTTTTTAGTAGTTCTGAAAATAAATGAACGATAACCAAAAAACCGAAAAGATCGAATTTCCTTTTATCGAAATATCTCAAGAGCCGGGCCTGCTATTTTCGAATAATTTCCACCGCTAGATTATGCTTCGAGATAGGCAACGTTTTCTTCATTTAACCGACTTTCTAACTAGTATGGTTTGGAAATTACTAATACAATCCCATTGAAAAAGTGGCCACCCTGTATATATTCTTTTTGCGAAGCAACCCGTGATAATTCCAGGCCGCACAGGTTAGGTAAATTAGTTATTATTTTCCTATTTTATGTATATGTTACGATAAATGATGATATTTTGGTCTTTAATGATATTGGCCGGTCATTTTCGTAAATCTCCTATTTGATTGGGCATTCTGCTGACGTTAGTGTCTGGTCAATATCGTCAGTGCCCAATTTACAACACTGCCCGTAACATATATATTCTTTACGAAGTAACTCGCTATGCCTCCAGGCCACACAGGTTAGTTTTAATTTGAACTCTAGGAAAATTATTCTATTATCTTTAATATCTTTATATCTATATATCTATATATCTATATATCTATATCTATATATCTTTAATATATAGGATTCCAAGTTTAGCAATGGAGCAGTACACAGTAGAAAAAAGAGTTTACATTATTAAAACGTACTTTGAAAATCGGTCTTCTGTGATAGCTACATATCGTCGAATTCGTGATTATTTTGGCATACAAAATCGACCCTCAGAAAGAAACATTCGAGCGATGATTAACGACTTTTTATGGCATGAGATAAGGGACATGGACTTTAACAATATGTGGTTTCTGTAATGTGATGTTATTATTTTATAAATGTTTATAGTGTTTTAAGCTCTACGATTTTGGGAAGTGGGTCAGGTTATTAAACAACTCATATGACTTTGAAAGAGAATATTGGACGCCACTATATTTAAAACTTTCTAAACTTGACAATCGATCAGTGATGAAAATATAGAAAACAACTGATCTTTATGATATTATAATTAAATAAGGTAGCGACAAATTCTAATTCACAGAGACTAAATTATTCAAATTTAAATGATTTATTGTGTCTTATCTGAGGTACACCATGTAAAATATTTTCTGTCAACTCGCTTTTTCATTCCGTGACGTCACTGCGTCCTTAGCAACTGTGATGAGACCACCGTGTTGTCTATACGAACCGTGGCTATCGAAAAATAAAAAGAGAAGGATTGAATAGTTCAATATAGTTCAACCGTAAGCGCTTAGCGCGCTGCTATCACTAAATTCGAACCTGTTTTACACCCATAAAAAAAAATAATGACAAAGAAATCAATAATTTTACTAATTTAACCTTTTAAATTTCACTTTAATATAATATTTGATCAAATACAGGCAATATTACCTACTACGATATTAATATTACTTACCAAGATATTTTTATTTTCGAAAATTTTGTGTATTTGTTATCTTTATAAGGCTGTATGTCACGATACTAAATTAAGTGCTAAATTTAGAACTAAATTAATGCATTTTTTAAGTACTAAAAAAATTCACGTTGCAAACAGCAAATTTAGTACTAAAATTAGTACTAAAAAAATTAATTAATTAATTAGAACTTGTTCTATTTCCTACTAAATTTAGTACTAAAAGTGCGTCGAAATGTTGCACAGAAGTTTTTCACAGAAAAAGTTGACACGGCGGTATTTTCTGTACCATTTTGTTTTTAATTAGCGACAATTTTGCATTATCGCCTTGAATAAAGTTCGCTTGTTTGATTTTGTAAATTTATTGTGTTTTTTTCGTGGTTTTTAGTAGCATTCACGTAGCATTGCTGTATTTGGTTGTTATCAAGTCAACTAGTGTCAAATTAATAATAAAGGGTGCATTCGGAAATGCTCTAGCTCTAGCTAAAAAGCTTTCGGTTTGCTGCCATTTTCAGCTAGAGCTAGAGCATTTCCGAATACACCCAATAACATCATTTACTTCACTTGTCTATTTGACACAGAATATTTCATTTCTCTGCAAATTTCACGTATTAATATGTCAATGCGCGTGCGCCTATAGTTAATTCAGTACTAAAAATTGGTATCGTTGCAAACGGAAAAAATATTTTTAGTTCTAAATTTAGTACTAAATTAATAACTTAATTTAGTGCTAAATGTAGTATTTAATTTAATATTTAATTTAGTATCGTGACATACAGCCTTAAGGATGCCTACATAAATTATTTTATCACGCAAAAAAGATAGAGAAATGCAATATACCAGTAGAACATATAGAACAGAAAATACTAAAACAGGCGCAATTCAACTCAAAAATAGGAACTGAAATCCTCTGAAAGAGAAAATACAATATTTACCCGCGATTTATTAATGACATAAAACGGAAAGAGCTGTCACGAAACAACCTCTCATTGTCTAACAGTAAGAAAGCATAAAGGAGATGGATATTATTCATTGTCGCTTGAATTCGTAATTTTAAAGCACTGTTTCCAGATGTCAAAAAATATCTTTAGGCCAAGCTATTTTCAACTGATTCTTAAATCAGGGAAAAGTTAAGCTAAGACTTTAAAACCAGGTAACCAGGACCAAACAGGATATTTCTTTTACCTAGGACAGTAAACAGAAACCTAACCTTTGTCCCGGTTAAAACGGAACGGTTGAACACCTAACACTATTATAGGAATAATATGTTTTCTTTTAATATGACATTTAGGACTGATTCCACCGTTGTGTTAAACAAAGTTTAAATTACTAAAGGAAGATTAAAATGATATTTTTACATTAAAAATGTCATTTTAATCTTCGTCTATTTTTATAGTAATTTTAATTTCGTTTAACACAACGGTGGAATCGGACCTAAGGACCGATTCCACCGTTGTGTTAAACGGTGATTAAAATGACATTGTTAATGTAAAAATATCATAACACAACGGTGGAATCGGTCCTTAGACAATTAGATATACAGTGAGCATTATAAGTCTTACCCCCCCTAACTAACTCGTTACTGGGGTCTTGTTAGGAAAATTGCCGAGACAGGTCGATTTTTGATTTCTACAATGTACATTTTTGCATGATTAGTTTACCCTTAATTTCATCTCTTACTGGAGGGTAGCAACCCCTTTGAAAAATTTAAATGGCATGGGGTGGTGAGTAAACGCTCATTTGAAAGGGGATTTTATTCTCTATTCAACCGCGCAAAAAATTTTAAAATTTGCTTCATTACGTGTTGATTTGTTAATGTTTAAAAATAACAAAATCTCACAAAATAGGAAAGCAACTGGACTAACAGTGACCTTCTAATGGCAAAAAGTCTTACTTCACGTCTGAACCAAAACCGAAATCATGCAGGGCCGAATTTTAATTCTAAGGATGAGTGCGCTACGTTAATTTCCGTTATTCTGAAACAACAAATAGTCGAGAATTAATGAAGCAAATTTCAAATTGTTTTACACGGTTGAATAGAGAATAAAACCCTCTTTCAAATGAGCTATCACTCACCACCCCATGCCATTTAAATTTTTCGAAAGGATTGCTCCCCTCCAGTAAGGGATGAAATTAACGGTAAACTATTTATACGAAAATGTACATTGTAGAAATCAAAAATCGACGTGTCTCAGACTCCAGTAACGAGTTAGATAGGGGGGGTAAGACTTATGGTGCTCACTGTATGATACTATTTAATCGTAAAAAGGACGAATAAAACATTCTGGAATAACTACGATTTTATCGCAAAAAAATTGCCAAAACAAAATGTTAAAATAATTTTTTTATTGGAAAGATTGGAAACGAAAATTAAAAAGATAAAAATCAATATTTAATAGCCTTTGCAATAATTTTTATCGTTTTTAAGTAGTCTGTAAAACGTATTTTTAGTAAATCCCTCGTATATAGCGGTGACGAAGTATTAGGCATTCCAACGACCTGTCAAACAATAGGTGCCAGTGGGAAATTCTTGTATATTTAAGGGGGGTAGCGACATAGTCTTGCAACTTGGACGCTATTTTTATTCGAAGTAGTACTTGCCAAGCCTGCCAATTTATGAAGAAATGTATAGGTGGGTTTATTAAATATTATTTTTATTGTGTTTGACATAAAATATTTAAATGTAATCCATTATTCATGATTTTACGTAAAGTAGATAGAATACACCATATGTCGCCACCCTTAGATATACCAAACCTGCCCACTGGTAATTCATTTGTTTGGAATGCCTAATTAGGCATTCCAACGACCTGTCAAACAATAGGTGCCAGTGGGAAATTCTTGTATATTTAAGGGGGTAGCGACATAGTCTTGCAACTTGGACGCTATTTTTATTCGAACTAGTACTCGCCAAGCCTGCCAATTTATGAAGAAATGTATAGGTGGGTTTTTTAAATATTATTTTTATTGTGTTTGACATAAAATATTTAAATGTAATCCATTATTCATGATTTTACGTAAAGTAGATAGAATATATCATATGTCGCCACCCTTAGATATACCAAACCTGCCCACTGGTAATTCATTTGTTTGGAATGCCTAATACGGATTTTCCTTTGATTAGTCGTTCTATTTGACATTCTTGACAATTGACAGTGACATTTAGTTATTTATTTGGATTTTGTATACTTTACTTTGTGGGTTTGATCAAAAAATATATCATTTTCAAAGAAATATTAATTTTTTTACTGAAAATAATTAAAAAGTCGCTAAAATGGACGATGAAGCTGATTTGAAAAAAATGATAGAAGTGTTACGATGTAGCAAAGAAGTAAGTAACCTTTTTTTCTAATAGCATAAATATTTTAAAAACAATTATTTTAGGAGCGTACAGACGACTTTCAATATCAAGAATTTATAAACTTTGAGGATAGTGATGGAGAGGAGGATGTAAGTAAATTTAATTATGAATAGTACGTTTAATATTAACCGAACAGATTCCACAGAAGTATGATAATGACTTATAGAGCAAAAGAATAGAAATTGTATGTCATTAAATTTACTGCTATTGCTTATACTGTTTATATTTTAGGATGATCAATCCACTACTGCCCAAGATTATGATTTTGAGAAAACTTTTACCCTCGATATCTCCACATTATACAAATACAATCCGACATCGACTCTCCAAACTGATGAAAAAGCTGTAATAGATTCCTGTACAGAAACAGATTTAAAAAAAATACTTATGCTTAATCGACAAAAGAACATGCAACTCATCCAAATGTACAAAAAATTCAAAGACCTTCTGATAGAATGCAAACAAAACATATTGGAGAAAAATGAAATTGTAAAACAGCATTATGCAGCTTTTAAGACACAGAGACAATCATCAGGTTCCTGGAGGGTATGTGCACCATATTTTAAAGACAAAGGCTTTTATGTGAGCCCTCCAAACAGTGACACTATAAAAAAGAAAAACAATAAAGAATTATCTTGTTATGACCTGATGCCACTAAAAAAGTGGACTCAATATGAATGTAATAGACTTATCGGTGCTGTTAAACTAAACTATAATGCCAATGTTGTATTTCAACTCAAGAAAACTGTGAGGTTGGCTAAGGTCGATGAAATGACAGAAGAGCAAAAGGAAGAACTAAAGGCAATGAAATTAAAGTTGAATAAATTAAGTAACGCAATGAATTTTGAGATTCCTCCATTAGGATCTGATGAAAACATTAATTGGATAAGGGTAGCAGAAATTTTTATCAGAGGTAATAGATGTCTTAATTTTGCAAATAATCAAAATATTTATTCTTTGAAAGGTTTTTTTGTTCTATCATAAAAACGCTGTTGTAGCAAAGTATTTTTTTAATAATATAATTTTCAGTCTACTACAAATTTTTATTAGAGGCAAAAGATATTGCTTTAATTTTGCAAATAATTAAAATATTCATTCTATGAAAGGGGTTTCTTGTTCCACTCATAAAGCATTTTTTGTAGCAAAGTATTTTTAATTATATAGTTCTCAGTCTACTATAATTTGGTAAATTATATTGCTTTAATTTTGCAGATATTCAAAGCATTAATTCTTATAGGGTTTTTTGTTCTTTCATAAAAATGCTATTGTAGCAAAGATTTTTTTATGTGAATAATTCTCAGTTTACTACAAATTTTTGTTAAGTAGAGGTAAATGATGTTGAATTTATTTTCAAATAATCAAAGTAATTAATTTGGTGAAAAGGATTTTTGTTCCTTTCATAAAAATGGTATGGTAGCAAAGTATTTTTTTTATTAAATAATTGAATTCCTGCATACTCAGGACTATGTTCATAGAGAGCAGATACGAGTGGGATAGTTGTGACAATCATTGTTCCTGAAAAATTTAGCTTCATTTTTTTTGTATATAAAATTGTCTTATAAATATATATATATATATATATATATATATATATATATATATATATATATATATATATATATATATATATATATATATATATATATATATATATATATATTGAGGGTAGAGTGAGTATACAATCTTTTAAGATTTGATGAAGACTTTCCGTTTCCATATCATCAGAGAGGATACTAATATTACTTAGAATAATAATATTTTTGTTTTTTATAATATTGTTTCCGCCAGCGGCGGCTTGGTCCCCAATTTTAACAAAAAATAAATTATTTGGGCTCTTTTCTAAACATATTTTATTTTTAAGTTAAACGACAATTTAAAATTATTTATTTTATACCCTTTCTCATTACTAACATTTAAAAAAGAAAAATAATTTTGTTGGTACCAATCGACGTAATTTAAGAAATCTTCTAGTTTAGAATTAAATTTAATAGTCTGATTGATATTTGTCTTAAGAAGAGGTATCGATGAAAATATAATATTTGTATGAGTACATTGTTTTAATTTATAATTAATACTCCTAATGCTAGGATACCTATTTTTGAGAATGTCGTTTTTTCCTCCCATAATAATTACATAATCATTCGTTGTGAGATTTGAAAAATGTCTTCTATTACTTTATCAAGTTGTGTCCCTGGTTTTAAAATAATCTAGACTGCTGTATTATCTTATCCAAATTGTTTTCTCAGTTCCCTGTCCAAACCTCTTCCAGTTTCATCTGATAAAATTAGAACCCTTTTTTCGTTTTTTACATATTTTGTTACATCATTGTGCTTGCTTTGGAGATTGTTATCTTTAAAGTTAATGTGAAGGGTTCTCAATTTATTTAAGTGCATCTTATTGTCTTTGGTTTTCAATATCTTTAGTGAGTTCATTGTTTTTATCTTTTAGTTCAGTAATCTGGTCAGTCATACATATTTGGTTATCCTCCATTGCTAAATTTAAAACGTTTAGTCTTATACTTAGATCTACTAGGTTATTTTCATTTTCAAAGTTGAGTACATTAATCTTCTTTATTTATTCTATGTAAAGGATTTTTTCTTTAATAAGAGTGCATTGTAGCAAAGTATTTTTTTTAATTATATAGTTCTCAGTATATAGTTTAGTACCGAAATAATAGAGAGTAATGTAATGCCAAGAATGTGTCCTGATAGAGATGCCATATATGCAATTGTAATATATGTCCACTACTGAAAATAATCCCTTGTCCAGTAACCTCAAAAGTTTCTTCAAACTTTGGTATAATGACATATTATGGCAGCATTCTTCATACATTAAATTACTGTCTGTTATTTCGGTATTCAACTATAGGTACTACAATTTTGTTTAGAGGCAGAAGATATTGCAACTTTTTTGTTCCTTTCATAAAAGTGCTAAGTATTGTAGCAAAGTATTTTTGTTTTAAATATAGTTCTCAGTCTACTAAAAATTTTTATTAGAGGTAAAAGATGATGCTTTAATTTTGCAAATAATCAAAATATTCATTCTATGAAAGGATTTTCTTGTTCCTCTCATAAAAAGACTTTTGTAGCAAAGTATGTTTTTTAGTTATAAGGTAGTTCCCAGTCTGCTACAATTTTTTTAAATTTTTCTCATAAAAGTGCTTTTGTAGCAAAGTATGTTTTTTAATTATAAAGGTAGTTCCCAGTCTGCTGCAATTTCATTTTTTTTTATTTATATTGTTCTTAGTCTAGTATAAATTTTTATTGGAGTTAAAATACTTATATGTTGCTTTAATTTTGCAAATAAAGTATTAAATCTTTGACAGTGTTTTTTGTTCTTTCATAAAAGTGCTATTGTAGCAAAGTATTTTTTTATTATATAGTTCTAAGTCTACCACACATTTTTATTAGATGTAAAAGGCGTTGCATTAATTTTTAAATCAAAGTTATTTATTCTATGAAAGGGTTTTTTTTTTCTTTAATAAGAGTGCTATTGTAGCAGTCTTTGTGTTTAATTATATAGTTCTCATTATAGGTACTACAATTTTGTTTAGAGGCAGAAGATGTTGCATTAATTTTCAAATAATCAAAGTACCTATTCATTCTTTGGTAGGGTTTTTTTTGTTCCTTTCATAAAAGTGCTTAGTATTGTAAGAAAGATGTTGCTTTATTTTGATTTTGCAAATACTCAAAGTATTGAATCTCTGACAGGGTTTTTTGTTCTTTTAAAAAATGCTATTGTAGGTCGCAAAGTATTTTTTTTAATTATATAGTTCTCGGTCTACTACAAATTTTTAATGGAGATTTTGCAAATAATCAAAGTATTCATTCTCTGACAGTGTTTTTTGTTCATTCATAAAAGTGCTATTGTAGCAAAGTGTTTTTTATTATATAGTTCTGAGTCTACTACACATTTTTATTAGATATGAAAGGTGTTGCAATAATTTTTAAATAATCAAAGTATTGTAGCATAGTATTTTTTTAATAATATAGTTCTCAGTCTACTACAAATTTTTATTAGAGATGAAAGATGTTGCTTTAATTTTGCAAATAATCAAAAATATTCATTCTCTGAAAGGGTTTTCTTATTCCTCTCATAAAAGTGCTATTGCAGCAAAGTATGTTTTATTTTTATTAGAGTTAAAATACATATGTTACTTCACTTTTGCAAATAATCAAAGTTTTAAATCTCTGACAGGCTTTATATTGTTCTTTTAAAAAAGTGCTATTGTAGCAAAGTATTTTTTTGAATTATATCATTCTCAGCCTACTATAAATGTTTATTAGTGGTAAAATATGTTGCCTTAATTTACCAAATAATCAAAATATTTATTCTCTGACAAGTGTTATTGTGCTTTCATAAAAGTGCTATTGTAGCAAGGTATTTTTTTTTAATTATATAGTTCTCAGTCTACTACAAATGTTCATTAACAATAAAAGATGTTGCTTTAATTTTTCAAATAATTTTTTGCTTTTTATAAAAGTGCTATTATAGCAAAGTATTTTTTAAATTACATAGTTTGCAGTCTACTACTGCTTATCATCTTTTATAAAAGCTAAAATAATAAATGGTACGATAAAATGAAATGTAAAAAATCGATTTAATATCTTGCATTAAAAAATGCACACCCCCTCAAATTCATTGAACTAATATATTTCTTAAGTAAGGGATTGCAGATATAAGATTAGTAATATCTGTTGCTCCTCAAAAAGGTATTTGCTCTCAAGAAACGCTGTTGCTATTGTTAGAAGAAAAAAAATGATTACCCTTTATCTCTCTTTTATTTATTTACATTTTAATTATTGTAGCAACTGTTTTATTTAACTGTTACAAAACTTCAGAATTGCTGTAAGAGAATTTGGTCAGGCATTTAGAAGCAAATTAATATTAAAATACAATTATTATTTATCATTTGTGCTCATAAGCAATCAATAGAATAATTCCAAATAATGGTAACAACGTTGTTAAAGTGTTTCCCCTTTAACATTAAAATTTTACACATTACTTGCATAAAACTTTATCACTATAACATCAACTAAAACAGGTTTCATTTTCAAAATAAAAGATTCAAAACGCCAGAAAAATAAAAAGATAAACAAACTTTTAGGTTATAATTTTAGTTTCAAATAAGTGTCCAAACTGACATCCTTGGTTTATTGGGATACACAATTATGTTCCAAATTTTTTTTATATCTAAAGGGGGTAGGGTTGTAAACAATTTTACTGCAGGTAAACCAACCAATCGTATCTACTTGACCACTTAACACAAATTTATATTTTAATTGAGTTGTTTACCTGTGGTTATTTATATATTTATTATTAAAAATATATAGAGTCGGCCACTGAACGCCTTCCAATACGCGATACACAAGTGCGTGTGAAAATTGCAGAGAGCATTGGAGCGAGCCAGAGATGAATAATATCGACGTTGCCAGTTTGTACGGCTCGACCGCGTTGTAACTTTGGCAAGGCCTTATGAACTGGCATCGCTGGTATTATTCGTTTCTTGCATGCTCTAATGCTCTGGCTCTGTTATTTTCACATGCACTTGTGCCAAGGGGTATTAGAAGGTGTTTGATAGCTGATACTGTATATCTTAAAGAATGAATAAATATTTATTATTATTAATTTATAAACAAAATTATGATACGGTGATTCCAGAAACCGCAATTAAGAAAAACGTATTTCAGATAAACATTCAGATTTTGAATGCCGAGCCTTTTGGCATATATTCCTGCACCCTTCGATAACCAAAGGCGCCTGGAAACAGGAGGAAAGCAAGAAATTACTGGAATTGGCGAAAAAATATAAAAATCAAAACTGGGATCTGATCGCTAAAGAATTGGGCACAAACAGGACTTGTTTTTCAGTTGCTACTCACTTTTTTTCGAATTTGTATAGCACTCTTAGAAAAGGCGAATTTACTTACGAAGAGGACAGGAAACTTTTGGAGTTGATCCGCAAATATAGGTAACACAATAAAGATATTATTTATTTAACATAAATTGTCGATTCTATAGGTATCTGTTTAAATAATTGGAAGGGTTTCTATCTTCTCTTTCACCCAAACAATTAATTTTGTTTTGTGTCTATTCTTGTTTTGCCGTTACGATTGTTTTGATATGACGGTGCCCCTAAAAGATTAAAATCTTCACAAAGTCCGCCCCAATTTTAGAGTCAAAATAATAAAAATAAAGATAACCAACCATATTTCTTTTTGTTTTAACGAAATTGCATTTTTAGGGGAAAATAGGAAAGATTACTTCTTTTGCTTAGAATTGAATTGTGATTATATAAGAATTAAAAAAAATGCAAGTCTTACACTGAGAAATATTTATGTTAAAATCATCAGCTGGTTATGTAAGTAGCGTCCTCTTTTAAAAAATAAAAAAGCAGTAATGCTGGGACAATTTGGACCTACTTCCAATGAAGCATACAAAATTTGATTCAGTAATTTTTGCGGCCCCCTTTTAAACCTCTTTTGGCTCCCTAAAAGTTCGATTTCTTCAATACCAAAAATACAGGTATTTTTATTTTTAAAGAACTTCCTACAAAATTATTTTTGCAGCGTTTTAAAATCATCCTATACAAACATCATCATTAGAACCTTATTAAAAAAGATAGATTTTTCATCACCGATCCTCAAAACACATATTTTTATTCTCTCTCCTTTTCTAATGCACGCGCGCGTATTTTGGTTACAAAACTGAAAATTAACATTAAACCTTTCGTGACCATTTTTAAAGAATTTACATGTACATGCACCCTTCTCCTATATTTTGCGATTTTTTAAAAAATACAATAATACAAAATACAAATCGATATGAAAACCTTATGAGAGCATTATTTAAAAAGTTTCTTTTTTAAGTTTAAATTCTGAAGGATTGTCCAAAAATTTTAAATTTTAATTTACTTTTTACTATTTATAGCACATTTTTTCCCTCTTTCACATACTCCTTAAATTTTTTCTCTAATTCATCCCGTTTTTCCGCTACGAGTAATTTTATATGCACCGAAAATTTCTAAAAGTTCGAAAAAAGAATCGACTCAAATTTTAGTTCATTAAAATTGTCTGAAAAACAGGAAAATCATTTTTAGAACCTTTGCGATGCTTAAGGACGTATTTTATGTTTAGAGTTGGTGAGCATATACCATGGGTAACAATAGTAAGGCATTTTAAAAACAGAACACGTTGTCAATTGCATCACAGGTTTACCTACTATTTGAGCCAAGTAGACAAAAGAAAAGGCAAATTTTCCGAAGCCGAAGACGTAATGATTTTAATAACTACCGATAAATATGGCACAAATTATCGAAAATGCTCCGAATATTTACCCGAGAGGTCCATCAACCAAATAAAAGGACGGTAATATACAAAATTACTTTTTTTTTAAATACATATATAATTAAAAAAACTGCGTTTTCAGATACACTTCGAACTTGAGAGGAGACTTGAATAAATTTTTATGGAGCGTAGAAGATGACAAAGTAATTATGGAACACGCGCAAACGTACGAAAAACGAGGTAATTCTTGGGAAGCGATTACCAGCGTACTCAAAAGATCCCGAGGTCAAATTAGGCAGCGGTACATTGTGGTTAAAAATTTTTTGGATAAGAATCCTGGTTCTACAGTCAAAGACGTTCCTAGAAGGAAGCACCTACATAGATATGATCATAATTATATTACAGTTAGGTAACGATTATTTTAAATTATAATATACAGTATGTCCTTAGATAGATCCATGAACAGGTGTAAATAACAAACATTTTAATTTCTCGCATTCATATTTGCCTAATACGAATAAACGTCATTATTTTATTTTCTTTAAAACCGGTCTGTTTGAACTTGTGCATTGCCATATGTCTTAGATTGTTATTATCACTTGTAATTAAATTCAATATGGGCGTGGCGCGTCGTCTCCAATGCAGATCAGTCATGGTGGGTGTATACAGTATTAGGTAGATCGCGGTTTTTAAAGTTTTTCTTTTAAAAATCATTTTGGAGTCACACAGCTGCAACAACCCTATGTCCTCGGATAGATCCTTGAATAGGTGTCAATAATAATAATAATAATAAAAAAAAAAACATTTTAATTTGATTATTGATGTTTTCCTAGAATGAATAAACGTTTTTATTTTCTTTACTTTAAAACCTGTCTGGTTTATCTTGCAGTGTATTGCCATATGTATTTATATTGTTATTGTCTCTTTCATTTTTTTAATAAGCAATGAAATGCAACATGGACGTGGCGCATCGTCCCTATTACAGATCAGTGGCGGGGGTTGTACATGGTAATAGATAGCTCGTGGTTTTTTACTATTTTTAACTTGTTTAAAAATGAATCAGGAGTTACACAGCTGTAGCAACTCTCCTATGAAACGGTATTATTTTTCCGGAAGTGAAATATAATGTAAGGTTTATTAATTTTAAAGTTTATCATTCTAATTTATTTACACTAAATATACTAATTAATTAATTTATTTGTACTCAAATTATATGAACCCTTAACTAAAATACTAATTTATATTAACTATATTGATCTGCTGGCAGAGATGTCTCAACTTGAACTAACTGCAACAGCAAAACAGCCTAGTTATAAAAAAATTTGGCGAACTCAAATATTTTCTCAATCATCAGAACTTTCTACTCAAACTCTAGACGTCCTTCCACCATATCATACGTCGGTGGACCCACTATTTTATAGACTGGTGCTTCCGGCAAATTCTAGAATTTTAATAATATACTGCAGTTTCTTCTGCTAATAGGCTTTGCCATGTTGTATCCTTAGTGGTTTCGTAAGGTCAAATAAGGTAGAGAGGGACTTAAGAGATTAGAGCATAACCGGACTGGTCGAAAATGACTCGCATTATAATAACTTTCAGTTTATACCTTATATGAGACAGCCAAATTTGGTGGGAAATTAATGGAAGTTTGAGACGTAACAGTTTATTGAGCCTTAAAAATACTGAGTGGGCAAAATTAATAAAAAACAACATGGAAAACGAACGTAAACCTAATTTCAAAAGTTTATTTTAAAATATTACAGTTGGATTCGTTCAGTGAAAAAGCTGAGTTCGGCTTGGTGTGCTCTGAACTCAGAATGCGTTTGGTGTGCCTCAAGTGTGGTCGTCTTGGCACTCGAGAGAGTACTGTTTTGTGTTCGACTAGCAATAGATCACGTATTCAGAGTGCGGGCACTCTTCCCAAAGCCGGCCGGTGGAGATCAAAGGGTATCTGTAGAAACGTGTCAAATGTCATTATTCTGATCTATAATAAATCACTTTTACACGTATTATTTCTTATTTGTTTTTGTTTTACTTATTTTATATTTGATTAAAATTAATTTTTTGCCGTCCATACACACAAGAGTTTTCAAGTGCAAACTATCACTAGAGTCATTGCCCCTTTTTTAGTATGAGATTATAAAAAGATTAAAATCTGTCTATGACGTCATGTACCCCGTGCTTGCTTCGATCCGTCCAGTTCCAAGCCGAACTCAGTCAAAGTTGAGACATATTTTTAGTTTCCGGGCTGTTATGCCGTGGTCTTAGTTATTACTACCAAACGTTTCAGCTGCAACTTTTTTGTTTTTTTTTTAATTTTTTTGTTTTTTTTTTGTTGTTTTTTTTTTTTCTTTTGTTTTTGTTTTTTTTGTTTCAAATACCCGTTTGAGATCTATAAAGCTGCCGTTAGATAGACTAAATGTAGAAATAATCCATTCTACATTTAATCTATTGGCAGATCTTGTCACTCTAGAAATAAAAGAATGAGAACCATTTTTTATTCTATGGAAAGGTTGGGAGAATGTATTAATATTCCTAGTTACTTTAGAGGGTACAGAAAATCCAATTTGGGATAACAAGTAGGGAATATCGGCAGATGAGTTGATGATATTAAACAATATTTTAAGATCCCTTTGGTTTCTTCTGCTCAGAAAGGTCTTAAGATGACAAAGTGTATGTAATTCGTCATAATTATATCTGAAGTTGACCGGGACGGTACCCGATTTAAATACAAAAATGCGTAAAAATGTTTTTTGAACTTGTTGGCTTAGATATACATAAAAAGGATGCCATACAGCGGAAGCATATTCAGTATAAGGTCTAACTAAGGCACAATAAAGAATCTTTAAACACATCACATTATGAAAATCAGAAGTAGTTCTTCTAAGGAAATCCAACATACTTAATGATTTATTAACTGAGGCCGTTATATGAGTTTGAAAAGAAACGTTGGAATCTAGTATCACACCCAAATCTTTTACCTCTGCAATGTTATCCACTGTTAAGTCATTGATTTTATAGATATATTCAATAGGACTATGTTTTCTGTTGAAATTGATTGCATGACATTTACTTGCATTTAATTCCATGCCATTTGATTAGATTTAATTAAGACTATGGGCCATATGGCCTCCTCCACCTCGACATTTTCAGATCTATTGTGGATATCCTTTAATCATTGTTTAGAGTACCTTGTCTAATTCGGTCTTTTGTAGTAGACTCCATAGACTGGGAAGTAGTTCTCCGGTATAGCTAGTTGCCCTTGGTTTTTCTTCTCCAAGTGTAAGGAATCTCAGTCTTGCTAGACCTTTGCAGTAGCACAATACGTGTTCTGCCGTTTCCTCCTCTTCTTGACAGAATCGGCACAAGGTCTCTTCTGTCAGACCGATATTGTACATATGTTTGTTAAGCCTACAATACCCTGTTAATAGACCTACTAGTACTCTAGTATTTTTCCTATTAAGGCATGGTAGAGGCTCGGTGAGTTTAGGCGATGGTCCTTTTAAGAACTCTTTGGCCTGTCTCTGTCCTAGTGAGTTTGTCCACCACTCCTGAGATTTTTTAAACATCCACTGCTTTGTGCATGTTCTGATACTTGTTTCTGTTACACCACAGAAGGGTTCTGGGCCAATAAGAGCATTTGAGGCTCCTTCTCGGGCTAGTAAATCAGCCCCTTTATTGCCCTTATGTCCCCTGTGGCCTGGTACCCAGGCTAAGGTTAGTACTACACTATTGAACCAAGTTATACAAGTCTTTTTGAAAGCAAATACAATCAATTTCAACAGAAAACAATAGTCCTATTGAATAAATCTATAAAATCATTGATTTAACATTGGATACTATTACAGAGGTATATATTAAAAAGTAGAGGCCCCAAATGTGACCCTTGAGGGATACCAGATGTAAAATTAACAATTTGTTTATAAATGACCTTCTTAAGGATTTTTTGATACAACTTAACAAACTAATAGGTCTTAAATCAGTAGCATTATTTGCATTTTTTTATTTTAGGAACCGAAAGTACTGTACCAATTTTTAAAGCATTTGCTCTTTTCGATATTTCTAAGGACGAGTTTATCAAATTTAAAAGTGGTTCTGAGAGCTTGAAAAAACAGTTTTTTTTTTTAATATTAAGGTTAATGTCATCTGTGCTTTTATTTTTCATTGCAAAAAGAACGTCTCTTAAAGAATCCACCGTGCATAGTTGAAACTTCCCAAAAAAATGTCCATTGTCTAAAATTTTATAATCTGGTATTGTATTGTTAGAAGTTAAAAGAATTAACTTCAAAATTATTGTTTTTAAATGATTTAGCACCCTGTATACTATAACACCCTTTATAGCCACTTCATAAAACACGTGTTAACATGGTTTTATAACGTTTTATTAAATATCTCCTAAACAATGTTTGAAATGTAATTAATTAAGGAACAAAATAAAGAATATCTTTAAAGGGCATAAGGCCTATCACGTTCGGCTGGTCGAAAGTCAAGTCCCCGCTCTCTCCTGGTTCTGGACACTGCAACGGGCAGACGTGGTACCGTCGACCCCAGTGGCGGCGATATCCTAATTCGCTGACTCTAACAGACACTGCAACGGGCAGACGTGGTGCCGTCGACCCCAGTGGCGGCGATATCCTAATTCCCTGACAGTATGATCAATAATATTAACAATCGATTGGATACTGTCTACGAAAAATTTATTAAAGAGCATTCGGCATACCAAACATATTTTTATAATCACATTATTTTCTAGTTCAAATTCGATTAAATCATTTGGTCGTATAAATAGTTGATGGGGGAATATTTTGCTCTCAATAAATAGGAACAATAGTACTTTTGGCATGCATCCAAATAGATTGTAAAATCCTTTACAATTATCTAACTTAATAGATATGTTCCTGAATCGGAGCATAAAAATTAAGACAGTTAATTATTGTGACATTTCATTTCTTACAACTTGATTAAAAGTCTTTTTGTTAAATTACAGAATATCTGAAAATTTACTGAAAACTTTAAGACTATATGTCATACGAGTAGACTTATTGGTTTGTTTTCACCATGGAATTCGACAATAAATTCCATAATTTCCGAAATTTTATAACTATTATTCTACTTACAGGAAAGTAGCAGACCACTTTTTATCAAAAAATCTAGAGCAATTACCGTCTATGGAGGAAATCGAAGAGGTCCTAGAAATGTTTCACTTCAACCCAGCGTCGATCGTTCCAAAATCCGAATTCTACGAAAACAGAGAACCTCACAAAAACGTGGACGAGTTGCTGACTGACTTCTTTTGCAATAGCCACATGCAATGGGGCATCGTTCTAAATTCCGACAATCTAAAACGAGCAGTAGACGAAGTCGAAACATTGCTCGACATTCTACACGTGAATTTGGTCATACCGGATACGCTCACCGAACCCACTTTAGATTACATAGACGTGACGATTTTGGGAGAGTTGAGGAAAAGGAAGTACTCGCTCGAGCCGAATATCGATAAAGAAGTAAAACTGTTGATACCGCCAAGTTTTCACACGACTACAGCGATGCGAAGCATGCTGGTCAACTATCTGCATTACAAAAACGAGAAAATCGCCAAGAAACGTGTGTTACCTTTCAAAAGCGAAAGAATATTCGGCAACTTCGATATATACCAAGGCGCCAACAACAGCGCTAAGAAATCGATATTACAGGAATTGTCGGATTTGTCGGAATCGGAGCTCGCGTTGATACAGGCTGATAGAGATCGGTTTTATCGTCGGTTCCAGTCGTTGTTCATGTGGCCGGCCGTTCTGACTGTGGAACCGCCGAACGCGGAGTTCGTCAGCATCGTCGAAAATATCAATGCCGACCCTGTTCGACCGGCGGTCAAGAGAACCTACAGCAAAAAGAAGAATAGCGATATCGAACAAGCCAACAAGGTAATAATATATCTCAAATGTTATCCGCGATATTTCAAATTGATCGGAAGTAGATAAACAAAGAAAGAAACACAAAGTGTATCAACCAATAATTTTTAGTGATTGGTCGTTCGGAAATGTCCACAAACATGTACGACGGACGAATTGAGAAGTTATTTTTTGTTTCTTGCATCGTCATTGTTATTAACCACCTTAACTTTTCTGGTATTCTTAATTTTTGTAGGGACATCTGCAATATTGTTCTTCTTATTGAGTCAGAGGCTTGTTTAAAGTCAAAAAGCATTTCTAATTCTATTTTGTGTTCATACTCCTTTTACATTATTTGATTTATTGTAGAGGTGGAACTTTTCATGAAAAGTAATTTTTGGACTAGTCCGAAGGACATTTCTAGAATAGTAGTGAAAAGTAATAAAAGTCACAATGAAAAGTAGTCGACCTTGAGCATAGAAGACACACAGTTAAATATCCATCCTGGATCTTTTTTCAAAAACACTTTGGGAACAATATTTGCATTTGCCTTTTCGATTTTTTGGCAAATCATTTGTAAAATACTTTTTGGTAATTTTTTCACGAGTTAATTTTAATAAGATATGAAACGAAAATTCGAAAACATCGTTTGAACATTATGATAATGTTGTTTATTCACATAAAACAAATACAATGTATAAAAATGTCATTTAAAGATAAGCAAATAAACATGAACTACACAGAAGCTGTTATGGACAGCTTGTACGTGGTAGATATTTCTAAAAAAATTAATTCTATAATATAACCTAATAAATAATGAATAAGCCCAATGGATCAGTTTCTTTGTATCTTAGACAAAATGTTAAGAAACTTGTTAAAAATAAAATAAAATAATTTATATAATGTAATAATTGGAAATGGTCATAATTGGGAAAAGGGTCATAATCGGGAATTAGTTATAATCGAGAGAAAGGTCGTAATCAAGATAAAGGTCAAAATCGGCAATTAGTTACACTCGAAAGAAAGGTCGTTCTGGACATAATCGAGAAATAGGTCGTAATCAGAAGAACAAGTCCTAGTGTTGTATGAATAAATTACAAATTTTAAGAAATTAAAGAAATCAGTGTAGTTATTAAAAGTATGGATAATGAATATAATAATTTACGATAGGTAATTATTTATAACATTACTAAATTCTTCTCGATCTTCTTGAAGAATTCAATTTCTTGGATGTTTTTTGAATACATTATAAGATGGTATATTTCGTATCTCTTCTGGGACTAAAATATACATTCTTGGTGCAAGATAATTGCATTTACGTTGTCCTATAGATTTTTCACTACGAGGAAAATAAACAGATTCTACTCGTCGTGTATTATACTGATGTTCATGTGATGTCAAAACAATTTTTGTTGTTTTTATAAATTGAAGAATTTTTAAAAAATATAATTGTCTTAAATCAAAAACTTTGAATTACTTGTACAAGGAGTTACTAGAATATTGAATATCTTTGTTGTAGATAATACGCAAAACCCATTTTTGTACTACATGAACATCATTTAGAAAGTTATCGTGTATTCCTCCCCAGCCTATAATACCATAGACTAATAACGACTGTACCAAAGAGAAATACATTGATTTTAGAGCATGAAAATTTTAAAAATCTTTTAAATACCTGAATTTGGGCCATAGAAATAGTATAGAAAGCCGATTCCATATATCAAAAATGAAACCATAAGGAGAAAATAGTGTGTCGGAGCTCATGCGTATAACGGTGCTGGCTCGAACAGGATCGGTGCAAGTTTTTTATTGATCGAACAAATAGTTGGCACGTTGTTTCAGTCATATATTTTTAGAGATGATTCTATATAGAAAACGATGAAAAAATCTAAGTTAAGGTAAATATGGTTCTGAAAGTGCTTATTAAAGAAAGATATGGCATAAAATATGAATTAGTTAATTTTCGGCAATCAGTACTGTAGTCACGAGATTTTGCTTGTGATTTGATATCTTATTTGATTTAGTATCATTTGCTACAACTATGTTGTTTTGAACTACTTAAAACATTTTCACTCGAACGGCGTACGTGATTCAATTTAAAAATACTTTCCAGAATAAAACCACGTGTTCCGATTTTGACTTCGTTTATTATTAAACACCGAAGTTATATACAAAAACGTTAATCCACAATCTAAATTAGGTACTATCTCAAGAAAATCACTGTTACAATTAATTATTTAACCAAAAACTAAAATACTTTTTAGAGACGTAACCAGAAATGGACTGGAACATTTATCCTAATATTGATTTTTACTCTCCCTACTTAAAGGTAAAACTTAAAGCAATAACAAATTGCCTATCTACTAGGGTCGGTAACTAAACGTATATACAGAATGGGCGGATTTTGTTCATACTTAACATTACACTCGCGCACTGACATTTAAATATTTACAAACAAAGATACTTTTCCAAACAGGCATCATTAGTACTGTAGTCACGAGATTTTGCTTGTGATTTGACATCTTATTTGATAGTATCATTTGTTACAACTAAATTTAATCTGGGGAGTGCAACATAGGGGGCAGTTGCTTTTCGCCCAGGAATATTATGTTCGACATTTTTTTAACATTTTATCAGCCGAGACTATCAGCCGTATGCATAGTCGATCGCCACCGACTCGCCAGAGATTCATTTCGGCGTATCGCCAGCGATTCGCTGGCGATCCTCCGGCGAAAGCCCAAAAATCTGGCGACTCGCCGGAAATTGTCACCGGAATGTCATTTCACGCAAGTTTTTATTTTCTTTTATAGGGATTATCACCGGTATCTCTCGCATTTTATTCATGATTCATTTCTTAAAACTCAAAAAATAATGAACTAATATCAAATTTTTCCCTATAAAAGAACATGAAAAGTTGCGTGAAATGACATTCCGGTGACAATCTCCGGCGAGTCGCCAGCTTTTTGGGCTTTCGCCGGCGGATCGCTGGCGATACGCCGAAATGAATCTCTGGCGAGTCGCTGGCGATCGACTATGCATACGGCTGTATGAGTCGTTACTTACAATAAGACAGAAAACCTTTTATGTTTACCATTTTCAATATAAATTAAAAAATACTACTACATTTACTTGGTAAATATTTTATTTTAATTTTGAACCCTTTTAAAAGGGTCTTTCGGTTCCATAATAAAAATTAGTCGCTGCTTACTAGAAACATTCTGTACAGTCTAAACCAATTTATGGATTGTTTTCGATCAATTTAATACAAAGATTTAAAGTTTTTAGTCGATGATAACATTCCACATCAGCACATTGCAAACCTATTTAATAAATAATAAGAATAAACTTGTAAATCATTAATTTGGTAGTTATCTCACTTATATGTTTTTTTTTGTGTATATGTTCCATCGCTATCAGAAATAATAGAAGTGGCATCTCATTTAAAATAAAACGAAAATAACAGAACTGTTAGAATATTTTGGATGAAAAGATCATAACCTGCTTACTATTTTTAACAATTTTTAACAAAAAATCATTCATTGTTTTGTCAGATATCGATAATGTCTCCCCGTCGCTGGGCAGCCTGTATATAAATATACAGCTCTCTATTTACATAATTATAATTCTTAGGTAGGTTTAGATTTCCAGATATAAATCTTGTAATAAATAAAACAGCTGCTTAATACATTGATTACATTTTCATTAGCCAATGTAAAAATGTATTTTATTGTACCTAGGATTTAACTAAACACTACAAAAAACTAAAAATAAAATGCCACTTTCATCGTGTAATTAAATAATAAACTACAAACGGTCCTGTAAGGGCAGCGTCATACAGTTTTGAAACACCGGATTTTAGTGCTATTGCCAGGTCAATATTGAATTTGTAGGTGAATCGCTTGTTGAACATTAATACCGTATTTGTACATATTTTTGAGAATGTAATTACACATAAATATTATTAGTTGATTATTTAAATGTTTATAAGTTATTTTGTGGCGATATTTCATAAATATAAACTGTTTAAATCATATAATTTAAAAATAAATTAATTTAAAATTCTTTTCTGTTAGGTATGTTTAATATACTTGGCAACACTACAGGGACAAGTCATGCATATTGCGCAAGCTTCTAGACACACTATTTTGCGATGTCAGGCGCAGAGACGCGTTTTTATGCACAGTAGGTTTCAATTTCTGCTTAAATTTTATATTTATATTGGTCTTCTGTATTATTTCTATGATTTGGGCAATAATCCTATTATTTTTTTAATATATAAAAGAACATTTGTCATTTTTTCTTTTTTAAACTATATTTTGCCTTTATTTGTAAGAAATTCAGACGAATTAGTTAATTTAATTTCGCGCATGTGGAATACACTTTTCCACTTTTGAAAAGTGTGTTTGGACTAAACTTTTCAGACTAGTCCGTCGGACTTGTCCGTGGACTTTTCCAAGCGACCCATCACTAATTTATTGTATAGATTGCATCTATAGTTGATTTTTCCTGTGTGAATTAACAGTGGTACTGTGCTATTACCTTTTTTGTTTCCGCTAGCCTCCTTCGTATTATTGCTGAAATTATTTGACAAGAAGTGTTATTCCTCTGTAATTTTGACATATTTGTTGGTCATCTTTTTTATAGATCGTTACCACCTCTCCTATTTCCCACTCTCGTCTTTTTTTCCTCTTTCCATAATCTGAATTAAAGACAATAGTCATTCTTTCAATTTAATGAGTTCGATGTTAATTCCATCTTTTCTTGGTTACTTTCCATTTGAATTTTTGCCAATTATCGTTTCTATCTCTTTTCTTATTGCATCAGCTATTATTTTCTCTTCTTCTATCATCATATTCCTCTAATCAATCAATGGATCTTTGAAGTAATCTATTCACACCTGATTGTATTCTTCATCTTATCCTTTTTTATTTTTTATTCCCTTGGTTTTACATTTGTAGATTTTGTTCTGTTCTTTAATTTTCTTGCAAAATTCTTTTGAATTTCTCTTACTCCTTGTTCAATTATTTTTATTTTATTGTCTATCCACCTTCTTTTACTATTTATTATGTGTTTTGGTTTGTTTTCTCAGTTCTTCATAGGCCATTTTATCTTGTATTATATTTATTCTTAGCCACTTGATTCTTGCTTGTACCTTTTTGTTGATGCTTCACTATATTTTCATTGTACCGTTATTTTCTTACTTTCAAATCAAAAATCAAATTCTTTTATTTGTACTAGGGACAATATACAAAGTGTATTGTGTTGTACACTTCAATAACTAAATATTACATAAAGATAAAGCTAAAAATTAAAATAGATGATGCAAAAATACCAACTGCAAGATGTAGTATTGTTATTAATAATTAATTATTTATGTGCGAGCTAGGTCGACTTACCGAGTAAGAATGACGTATTTACCAACACTAGAGGAAAACCTAGCAAAACCCATAGTACCATAATTTGCAATTGGTAATTACATCAATCATACTGTTTACCATCATAGAAAATTAATACTGATAGGTAGAAAAAGAAGAAAAAAACTAAACTACTAAACTGCTAAAAAGGATCCTATCTTATTTCGAATCCTAACTTTTTACATGAATTTGAAATATTTAAGATTGTAACATCATCTAGTGAGTAGGGCTCAATATCAATTAAGATATTTCTAATGGTTGACTTAAATCTGCCTACATTTTTAATATTTTTTATATAGCGAGGAAACATATTATAAAATTGTATGCATTTAAAATAGCATCCTTTTTAAAATAATGTGGTTTTAAGCGTTGGTACTACAAAACTATCTACTCCGCGTGTATTATGTGTATGACCAAAAATATGTTCTCTGAAGTAAACCTGATTTTCAATTACAAAATATACATATGCCCCAACCACCGTCATCAGATTTGATTGTAATATTCTCAATACTCTTTTTTGTGTCACGAAGACCTCGTAATTGTGAGAACCACCCCAGAAGATGATTCCGTAACACATAATGGAATAAAAGTGTCCGAAATAGGCAGATCTCAAAGTGTTTTGGTTTACAACTTTAGCTAATTCTTTCAGAGCAAAGCAACTCTTACTAAGCCTACCACAGAGATTGTCCAAATGACAAGACCATCCCAAATTCTCATCTACTATCACACCAAAAATTTTTGCAGAGCTCACATAATGAATTTCTGTGTTGTTTAGATTTATAGCATTTTCATAATCGTTCTTATTTCTGCTGTGTTTAAACAGGATACAATTTGTATTGGACATATTTAATACTAAGAAATTTTTTAGAAACCACTCTGCCGTTATTGATGATATGTGCATGGTATCTTGTTTCAGACTTTCATCATCGGTACTGGCTATTAAAATGTTAGTATCATCTGCATAATTTGTTAGTCTTACAGAAAACAAGTCTATTACGTTTGATAGGTCATTAATGTACAACCTTTCTCTGATGTTTTTTCCATTCTACTTCTATTGATTTTTCTCTCCGCATATTTATATTCTTTGTGGTGAGTACGCGATCATTTTGGTTGTATGTTTTTTCATCAGGTGATACCCAAGTCACTGTATGAATTCTGGGTGCTTGAGTTTTGTAGATCATCTTTGTTTATTTTCTTGTATGGAATATTTCCCTGCTACTTGCTCTATATGGTCTTTTTTGTCTATTTTAGCATTAAAATCTCCAAGCCTTTTTCTCCTCTGGTTTGTTTTTTCCATAGGGGCTTATATATTAATGAATGATTTTGTTTTTACTCGTAGGTAGGCTATCTTTCATTGATTGAATTAAATTCTATTGTGTTTTTTTTTCACCTAACATCATATTTTCTACCCCATAATATCATCCCTGTTTTTCTTACTCAGAGTAATATAATGTAAAGATTTTATTTATCAATTAATTGTTTCTTTACCTTCTCATCTTATTGCCTGAATTCCTGCAACACCTACGCCATATCTATTGAGTTATTTCCGTATTTCTTGCATTTTCCGGGTTTTAACGTTGTTCTAATATTCTAGGTATTTATTCTTAAATCACTTCTGCTTTTTTCTCTATATTTTTTCATTCTGCGTCCTCTGCTTTATTTTTATTTATTCTTTCATGGGTTTCTGTTTCTGGTCCAGTTATTTGCCCTTACCTCTGTTAATCATTGTCTTTTTTGTTCTACTGCTTTTTCCATTTTTCAATTTTGTGAATTTATAGCTTGATTCTTTTTTAGAAATAATTTTTTCTGCATTTCGTTTCTATAGTCTCCCCACGTTGGGCGCCAAAGAAATTAAACCATTACTCATTTGTCTATCTTACCTTGTTTTCTTTTGTGTCTGTGTCAGATTTATTAACTCAATAATTTTGTTGGGTGTTTTTCGTAGAAATCATAAAGCTATTTATAGTTTATTTATTCTTATTTTGTCATATTCATAACAGATCTTTCGTTCCTACTGCCTCCTATTATAAATAGCTATTTTTGTGTTATTTTGATTTTAGGTTAGAATATTGGACGAAAAGCAAGTGTTGAAATTAACTCCAGTTACAGATAAAAGCGTAATCGTCAATTTACTGAAAGACAACTCGAAGAAATTATTCTCCATGGATAAAGTTCAGTGTGGAAAGGAAACGAAAACGCTCATCAAAGAAGTGGATTTGGATTTTTTGGGAAGACAGGAGGCCGACAAGGAAACTACTAGCGTTAAACCGAAAGCTGTCGAAAAAATAAGAACGTATTGGCAGAAAGCGACTAATGTCAATTGTGAAAATGCCGGTACGTCGAGATATGTAGCCGATAACGACGTTATGAAAATTACGAAATCTGATGTTGATATTAGTTTCAATGAAATTGATGCAGGTAATTATAACGAGTGTTCAGTTTAGCAGTTTTTTGTTATATCATTAGTTGACAGTGATATTTTTTACTTGTCAAAAGTTTGGTACGTTTTCGATTTTGAGGTTAGTTGTTTGGTTAAATGCGTCAAATTAATCTAATAACCCAATCAAGTCCTCTAAGGTTCGTATTTATAAACAAAACTCAGCTGAGTCGGACTTGGGTAAGTCGTCCTTGAACTAAAATCGAAGTTTGGTTATATCGCGTGAATTTAGAGATGGGTAGTAACAAATCCGTAAATGTACTTAACAGTTACAGATTTGCTAATATCCATTTCTAAATTTCAGTGTAACACTGGAACCACCTGGAACTTCAGAGACATTGTAACCGAACTTCGATTTTAGTTCAAGGACGACTTACCCAAGTCCGACTCAGCTGAGTTTTGTTTTAAAATACCAACCTAAAGTCTGTTTCTATAATAGAAGAATAAATGAAAAACGCTAAAAAACGCAATGCTCATGCGAATTTGTTGAGAAAAATCAGAGATCGGTTTCACGAATTAAGCTAATCTTTTATTTGACATAATGTTCAGCTAAAATAATATTGTTTCGCTAAAAAAAACGAAAGATTTATATTTTATTTATTTTTTTAGATGACGACCTCATGGACCTTGACAAATTGACCAACTTTATAAAACTGGAAAAAAGTGGCCATTGATGCAACTACCCAAGGATTTAAAACGATTTAAAATAAATGACGCTGAAAATGAGGATGCCAAGTGAATTTTATGTGATATATTAGAGTTTAAGATATGGATTAAATTAAAGATACTTTTTTACTTAATTATCATATTGTATTATGATTCTTTAATTTTGTTATAAGTATAAAAATAAAAGTCCTAAAAAATATTCGTTTTTTATTAAATATACCTATTTAAGCTGTCTCCCGTCGTAACTAGCAGAGTTGGGTCGGATACAGGAAGAAAGTATCCGAGTACCGGATACGGATACTTTTTAGGATACTTTCTCCTAAAAAGTACTCTGATACAAGTATCCGGATACTTTAAAGGATACTTTTACGAGTACTTATAAAGTGAGTTAAAATAATGTTTTCATACCAATAGTTATAATTATGCAATAAGATTGATTACGAGTAACAATAAACAATACTAGGCATAAATAAATTATCGAAAATGGAAAGCGATTATAATAGAAACAGAAAAAACTACTCAATAAATTGTTTATTATTTTTATTCTGTGAATATAAAACATTAAAAAAAATTAACAATAAAACAAAGGTGTGTGTGTAAATAAAACGAGTCGCGCCAAAAACCAGCCAGTGTCGTGTCCATATAAATCTAAAGAAATAAGCTCGTTTTAAATTTCAGGAATGGTTAGATAATGTCTTTCTACTGGTGCTGACTTGTAAATTGGTTCTCTTATCCTCTAAATATCTTAACAATTCCAGTTGAATTTTTGTAGTTATATTGCTATTGGAGCTGGTACCCTGTTAGTTATGTATCCTAGTATTGTCATTCTCTGCTTAGTGATCTTGGGAATCAGTAACATCAAAAAACCATCCAAATTCTGGTCCCCTATTTCATCCGATTCGTTGTAAGCTTCAATTTCCATCTGTTTTTTTCGTAACATTTATAATTCATTTTTTAATATCTTCCAAAGATTTTTTTGGATTTTTTACTACGTTGTGCCATTTTATTTTAAATTTAAAAAGAAGCACTGCTGCAATAATTGGTAGTTCTCATTCCAAATTTAAAATGTTAGCAAAACGAGTATTTAAGCTTTTGATGCACATTCTTGCTAAATGCTCTCCTCCATATTTCAGTTTGTAACGGTTGGAACCGTTATTTCGACACATTCACCTCTTACTCAAATGTCATTTGTCCTCTATGCCTTGTGAGATTTTCATTTGATTTGACTGACAGCGAAGATCACTTGATTTTATTTTAAGTTGTTTTTTAGCCACCACATTGGTTTAAAATATTTTTTAAACCATATTTAAAGTGACGTCATGAATTAATAGATGGCAAAAATAGGGTGTTTTAAAAATATAATCTGCTGTCATATGACAAAATTTTTTTGATCGTATTTTTTTTGTTTTAATGATTGTTAAATCAGATGAAGGAAGATAAGTGTTTGATAGCGATTTTAAGTAAAAATTGAAGTGTTTTTAATAGGTACATTGGAATCTGAAACGTTATTATTTTATTTTTGGTATTTTTCTTGTCAATAAACATATGGTATCATATTTATTCCGTAGTTCCACAGATACGCGATTGTCTAACGATTATTTGCTGTAGATTTGTTGGGCTTTTCCAAAGTTCATCAACTGCCAAAGAACGTTTATTGCTTTTAAATATTTGCTGGCAAATTCAGAATCTGAAGCAAACTACGTAATTATTTTTGTAAAAAACGTACAATTGATAAGTAATCCTTTAACCTTACTTTAATTGAATTATTGTTTCATAATCAAGAGTAACCCATAGGTAGATCACATTGTCCAACTGTTTATGATGACCATAAATATTAATATTTGTATTAAAGCATTATAACCAATTAATGTATGAATATGAATCACATAATATATGTATGAAGTTATCAAAAATCAATAAAAATCAACAAAACGTCAAATATATCAAAATGTTCAAAGATGGAACAGAGCAAAACAACATACAACAGCCACAATCAGAATCTCTTATGTGTCAACCGTTATTGAACCATATGCCTCCGACTGGTTCAAAAATTCTAGCTTTGGTTTAAAATATTTCGTACGCGACGTCATAGTTGCATCACTAAAATTTAAACGGTTTAAAACAGTCGAAAATATTTTAAACCATACACTCGCTAAAAAATACCTTAAATCTAGATCATTCGATGAATTAAATGATATATTTATGTTAATGGCTGTCTGATTTTATAAGGTATGTTTTGTTAATAATATGTTATTAAATATATATATTTTGTGCAAGGATTTCTTGAACAAATTGTCAAATTATAAACATAACCTCAATATCAACAATGAATGACACATGTGTTAGTTTTATATAAAATTATGTATTATTTTTTGGAATAAGATATTATGCTTTACTATATTTAAATATATTAAATAAGACTTTTTCTTTTAATATTTATTTTAGTCTCTGTGAAATTATTCATTTAATATATTGTTTGATCAATAAGTTTTTATATTTATTAATTAACGAAATTAATCTGGGCCAAAAGTTACAGTATCTTCAACTTGTAACTAAAATTTTAATTAAGATCTCATTGCTTTTTGGTTTATTGAATTTTTTCCATAACTGAGCACATTTATTAAATGCATTCTTTTCTCTAGTTCGTAATGTTGGAATTGATCTAACAGTATTTTTAAAATCAGCGGTGGCTATTAAATTCAAAGTATGTGTGGCACATCGCAAGTGTTTGGGTAGTTCTACATCATCTTCGGAGTCTTCATCTTTTTGGTCTTCATCAATATCTAAATATAAAATTTGAAATTTATCTTCTACTTCTTCTTCATCGTCTTCATCTTCGGTTTTTTCACCGAATACTTAAAAAAAACGCGTATCAAGTATGAAATTATCATAGGGAATTTTAATGAAAAATATTATGCATGCTTTAATCTTTTTCAAATTTTATTAAAAATGGTCAACATCTGAAATTTAGCAATTATTTTTAACTTTATTATCAAGTATAAGTTATCTATTTATCTATCTATTTATTTAATAAATTTAATGAATTTGTTATTTTATTTCTCGACTACATTTTAAAAACTAATAATGTAATTAGACATTTTTCAAAACAATAAATTCTAGGTACCTACACCTACTTACCTTTGGGTATAGTTAGGCACTAAAACTGATACAGAAAGTTTAGTTATATTGCACTATATAAAAACACAGGAACAACCGTCTCTACAAGTTCGTGACGCTAACACCGGACAAGAGTTTGCAGGATTTTTCCTGTAAAAACGTGCCGCAAGATGCTGAATTTCGACCGTCTGTATACTGGGTAAATCGTTGAATTCATCCTTGACGACGAGAATTTTTTTTGCGTTATTTTAAATTTTACAGGGTGCACCAAACAAAACTACAAATCATAATAAAATAAGTATTTTACTATTTTGCAATTGTGTCTTAAATATTGTAATATTGAAAAATAGGTATTTTATTTCTAATTATACATGGTAGCTCAAAGTATTTCGATTATATATTTTAATAGAGATGATATGGATTGGATCAGTTACGATTGTGGTAAATAATTTAAAAGTATCCGGTATCCGGATACTTACAAATTTGGTCACGGATACCGCATACAAAATTTGAAAAGTATCCAGATACAGCTTTCGGATACACCTAAAGTATCCGGATACTACCCAACTCTGGTAACTAGTACATCCAATTTTGAAATTTTTTTTTTCTTCAACTTATTACTTTCATTTTATTTTCTATCTCAATACGCTCTCGTACACCTCATTTCATAAAAAATACAAAGGTTTTATCAATCTATGGCCGAATGTTTTATTTGTAGTATGCTCCTCGTATATAACTGCTACCATTCATGGTTGGAGGGGGGGGGGGCATGGAATCATTTGGTGAGTTCGGTCTACGCACTCTTTTCACTATATTCACTCCTAAAGTACCTAAGGCGTTCGGGTACGGAAGGAGTTAAAATAAAAGTTCCTCTTTGACCGTTCGGAGATGGTGGAGTGGAGTGTGAATCGGGCATGCGCATAAGGTGATTTAAATTGATAATAAGTTAATTGTGAGCGATTCTTTAGTAAATAAATTTTTTTTTTGGTTCCCGTGAATATCATTAATATGGAAGAAACTTATACGGTCGTTACTGACAAGTACGATTAAATTTTAAGTACTGGTATGTCACATTGACAATTGACATTTCACTCCGAGAGTTAAAGGAGTAAAATCATATTCGCACTCCGTTTACGCCTAATTACTACACTCCACTCTGGAGTGCGCAGCCCGAACTCACCTATTGTAGTTCTTTATACAATGATGGAATTGTCCTGCAGTTAGTCGTTCTAGTTTAAATTTATGCATTGTTGCCATATGTACGATAAATACCGTACATATACGCGAATTGGAACTTGTGTATGGTCGAACTATATATGCGAAATGAGATAAAATTGGTAATACAGCTAAATTACATTTCCACCAAATGAAATATTATACAGGGTGGGCCATTAAGTTGAGCGGATATGAAAAAATCGTGAAAAATAAACAAAAAGTAATATCATTACGAGTGTATATTTAAATTAAAATACACAGATGGAAAATTATTTTTTAAAAATATCATTAAATTTGAAAAAACTCGCTGATATATTGCGCGTGGAATAGCAGTCATTTTCTCACGAATATTCTCCTTTAACTGATCTACCCTGCGTGGCTTATTGGTGTAAACGCAACTCTTCAAGTATTCCCACCCAGACAGCACAAATAATAAGTCCAATGTCCATTCGATATACAATTTTGGATGTCTGGACGAGAGCCATAGGCCGGGTCCCAGGACAATTCTCTAGATCGGGCCCCGTGACAAAAACAGCTCTTCAAACAAAACCTTTTCCTCTTCTACTTGAATTGAATTTTCTAAAAAAAATCCTCAAGCAAAAACTTTTCTTCCTCTGCTTCAATTGCTTTTTCTAAAAAAGAAAAAAAAGGTCCTCAAGCAAAAACTTTTCCTTCCCTACTTGAATTAAATTTTCTAAAAAAAAATAGATCCCCTAGCAAAAATTTCCCCCTCTCGTCTTGTGTCGAATTTCTCATACAAAACAAAAAAAATCCTGTTTCTGGGCCCCCTTTACACCGCTGCCGGTCCCCCATTTGAGTCCGGGCCCCGGGAATTAGTCCCGGCTACCCCCCCTGGGTAAAATCGTACGATTTTTGAATAGATAATACGGTAAATTTTTTGCACGTAAATACGGAAAATCGGTCTCAGGCGTGTGGCAACACTGGATTTATGACATAAATTTGTAAAGTATCGGTGGTTGGCGTGGTTGGAGTTGTAATATTTTATTGTTGCACATTGTTGCATAAATAATAAACTTTCCAGCTTGCCACCGGTTTTGTTGAAGTCGAATTGTTGCAAAAAAAAGAAAGCCACAGCAGGTAAAATTGTTGACAAAACTAACAATATTTCACTAAATATGGAAAAGGTGGAAGTTGAAGAATATCGAATTACCGATAAATTCGCCTTACACAATGCAAATCTATGTAAAAACTGCAAGAAACCTTTAAGCATTCCTCCAATTTACTGCGTGGAACATCAGAACGGTTCAGTAACTGAAATATGCGGCCGATGTTATTACATAGTTTACAAACATGTTGGAAATAAATGGAGGCAACATGCCTACGAAAATGTGGCACAATTTTTAACATTTCCTTGCGCCTACAAAAACCAAGGTTGTAACGAAATTTTAAAATGGAAGGAAACGATAGAACACGAGGCAAATTGCAAATATCCGATTATCTCATGCCCCGCTAATGATAATGAATTTTATGTTGGGTTTTACTGCCCTTGGGAAGGTAGTGCACAACTTTTGAACAATCACATTCGTGAGACACATCAGGTGAGTTATTTCTAACTGAAATAGAAAAAACAGCAAAAAGATATAATAATGCAATTCAAAGATATTTTATAAAAATACAAGTAAGGGTATGTACATGCCGAAGATGCCTCAATAATCAGTGACCGATAGGCAATGGTTAAGTGGATGTCAATTGATGTAATACGAATGAGGATGGGTTAATCTTTGGTATGTACACTCATTTAAATTAGTACATTAGTTATTACATCGCCTATTGATCATTGCTCATCGAGGCATATTTGGCATGTACACACCCATAAGCTTTTGATTCTGTTAATCACACTCACACTTTATTTAAATTTAAATATGTACACTTTTCTGATGCTTTTCTGACTGGTCTTGACAATCTATTTAAAAAAAAAGTTCAGATAGTAAGGATAGATGATCCATTATGACGTACCTGCTGAAGTTCCACAGGGTTTCCATTTGGGAATGATATTGAAGATATTTTTACTATAGTAATTTTCTACTTGTTGCTGATTAACTAGAGATATAATTATATGCCCAATACTTTTGGTAGAAGACATGGCAATATTGTATTTGATTATTCAATGGTGAATTCAATTACCTTTAAATTGAGAATTAATAGAAACAGAGGTAAAAGACTTAGGTATAACCTAGGATTGTGTTCTATCTTTTTATAATCATGTAAAAAATATAGTTAAGTCTGCAAATAGAATGCTGGGGTTCATAATTAGGCAAACTAGAAGTTTTACTAACATAGAATCTATAAAAATTCTTTATTATGCTCTAGTTAGACAAAAACTTGAATTTGGAGCTGAGGTATGGATGGGAGAACATCCAACTAATCTATATGAGATTGAAAAAATACACAATAAATTTCTTAGATATCTTTATTTGAAAAAACTCCATATAGGTATACCCAGACTACAATATTGTTAGAACTGCAAACTTAAGAAAAGAATTTAATATACCTTCCCTTCACACCAGAAGGAATATCATAATGTTGACTTTTTTATATAAAATTATTAACTATAAAATTAACTCACCTGAGCTACTATACTTAATATGATTTAATGTACCTCAGAGTAGAATGAGACATCCTTGTATGTTTAATATTCCTTTAGTTCTTACCACTGCCAGGTCACCTCTTGTGATCATGCTCCGATTGGCAAATAATATTAACACTTGTATTGATGTAGACTGGACACTACCATTTAATATGTTCTGAAAACTTGTATTTAATTATTACATTACTCTTGATTAATTATTACATTACTCTTAATTAATTTGAATACTAAATAAGTTGTAATTACCTACTGTTTATTATTAATATTAATATTTATGTATTATAATACTTTTATCCCCTGTTTGGATACAAATAAATAAATAAATTCAACTCTTGCAAATTTATAATTTCTTCTGAGCCTTTATTTTTAGTCCGATTTTTATGAAATTTTCAGGAAATATGAAAAATAATAAAACTTAGGGTGGAGAAGCCTTGAATTTTTTGCAAACCTTTGAAAAGTATTTATTTTGAAAAATTTTAAAACGAATTTAAAAAAAAAATCACGCCATTCTGTATTAGGTAAATCTATGAAAGTTTGATGCTTTTTGTTTTAATAAATATCTAGTAGTTTTTAAATGGGAAGATTTCCCACCTTTTTTTCTTAAACATCTCTGTAGAGTGCTGTCTTATCGACACACAAATTTAAGGCTCTCAGTATTCTCAAGACACATAATATCACCAAAATATTCCCAGTGGCGTGCATATAAATACAATTTAAATTAGAAAATCCTTATTTTTGCTTTCGTGAGAGGTCTGGTTTGCTCTTAAACATGTTTAAGATTTTAGGGCTACTTTTAGTTCAACATCTATTGTTCCTCATACCTCTTATATAATAAATAAGAATTTCAAGATTTTATGATGTAAATATTAGGTTTAATGTTTGACAACTTAGATTATAATACTCTTATGACAACAACCAGGAGTTATATATTAAACTTATGGATCTTGGAATTTTTAAAATTTTGAAGGGGTATAATAAATTTATTATTTTTGTTTACATTTCAGAATCTATTCATTTTTTTAAGTTTTAGAATCCATTTAATTTCTAAGTACCAGTAAGATATACAAAATTATTAAAGTCTTCATTCCATTTCATAAAACTGATTATGGTTTATTTCTTCCTCTATCAAGAATGCAAAGAAGTGCAAATTAATTAAATTTGGATTATATGGGTACACCTTTCAATAGTTTTAGAAAAGCTGCAAGAAGTAGACTATTGATATTTGGAATATTTTCATCATTCTCAAGGATTTTGATTGATATTTTTATTTTTGTATATTTTTTATTGTAACTAAATGTCTCATTTAGTTTTTCACTTTTTAATGCCCTGTAGAAAAGTTGTTAAACAATCAAAAATACTTTGATGAAGCTCATTTCCACATTAATGGCTATGCTAATAAATAAAATTTTCATTAATGCTGTGAAATGAACTCTAACAACTATCCTGCCAATCTGATGGACTTGAAGGACAATATTCGGGTACTTGTCAAAACGTGATGGCAAATTTTAGAGCTCGACTTCAAGGGAAAATGGGCAACATTTGGTTACTATAATTCACCAAAAATTAATTTCCCAAGTTTTTTTTTAAATTTGAATTCAAAAAAGTGAAAAATTATAAGAGTAATTAAAAACAAATTATTAGTGAGTTTAGATTTTGTATTTGTTCTTTAGGGTACCTTCATCGATCCCCCACATTTTAACGAGTTACCGGCTAGAAGCGAGGTGTACTTTACTCGGGCATGTGACACTATTTTCATGATAGTATTTTTGAAGAATGATGATAATAAGTATGGCTGTTGCGTATTGGTCAGGGGCGGGGAACTTTCCGCTCAGATGTACAGGTATCAAATAGAGCTATTTGATTCGACCAAGACGAATTCTATTATCTTACGTAGAAATAAGGTCGAAAATTGGTTCAGTGTCGAATCGACTTTATGCAATAAGAATAACATTCTAGAAATTGACTGCAATGTTATAGAGAATCTCATCAAGCACAATTGTTCCGATAAGCGAATTTCGGCCAAAATCGGTATTGTTAAGAAGAGTAGAAAGGAGATAAAACAAATTTTTGAAGCTGCGGGGCGCAGTTTTCCGGATTCAGAACATACGTCACATCAAAAACCCCGTGAAGCTCCTGACGAGAAATTGTTATCTGAATTGGAATGCCCTGTTTGCAATGAGTTCATGGTACCTCCCATTTATATATGTTCAAATGGTAAATATGATTTTCCAGTTATTAATATAAACGGATTTTATTTAATAATTTCGTATTTTTTTTATTAATATTTTCGTACCTTCACTAAACATACAATGAATGTATGAGTCAAATTATCTATTAACTTGTTACAGCAAGATTTTCCAGAAATTCATTGGACACAGCTTTTTTTCCAGTCTAATGATGTCTGTTTGTATGCTATAACATGGACGCTAATTTTCAATTGTCCCTGGCTTTATACTTTACCCTCAATTTCACCAAGAATAATTTCCCTAGTTCTCAGTCAAGCTCCACCATCCTTTAAAAAATCAGAACAACTAGCTTTTATACAGTCAATGTAATCTTAAACAATCTTTATTAAATGTTGAAATATTGCCTCTAGCATAGATAGCTTTTCCCTTACTTTCTCACTAACCTCTTCATTTTGAGTAAGTAAAAAAATAGTTTCCATATAGCATAGCATAAATGCAACTTACTGCTGAAAATAATTGTTAACAGCAATAACTCCAATTATATACTGTTTTTGAGATTGACCAAAGTTAAACAACATATATTGTATGTTCAGAGGCAGTCAGTGCATGAGAACTCTTGGATCCCGCCATCCCTGTCAAATATTGTCCCAACCCCTAACTGCTAAAGATTTTTTGCTCTTCAGTTGTTTTTCTGACAGCAACATATTTTTTCCTCTTTCCTGGTATATAAGTATTTGTACTTTGATAGTTGGATGATGTCAAACGAAAATTAACTAAGCCCCAAAATATCATTTTGAGATATAGTTGATTAAAATTTGAATCATCTACATCTTCCTTTGTTGATTTATTAATAAAAAATTCAAACACAATTTTTAAAAAATTGTGAGCTGTGAATAGGAACGTAATTTGATGGGGTTAAATTTTACCCATAAGAAAAACTACATGTTTTTTAGAACAAATTTAATTAAATTTTTGGGGAGCTTTGGTAAACCTTTCTCTATATCATAAGTAAGTGTTTCAAGAATAGAATTTGTTTTAGCTCTCTCTGGGCCAGTATTCATTACATTTCTAGCTGTCTCTGCATGTTTTCATGTTGTATAATTTCCCTTGCAAACATGAATATCCCTCAAATATAGCAAAATTAAATGATATATCTCTAATGGTGCACAATGAAAATATTGAAATAGTTTAAAATTTTAAATATATTGGTTTTTACATTGATAATATTTTATCCTTGGACTCTCATTTTAATTATATTTATAATAATTTCCAAAAAGTTATTATTTTTAAGTAGAATTTCTTAACATCTTTCAACTGAAACTAAGTTAACCTTATATAACATGATAATACAACCTCATTTTGGCTACTGTGCATCCGCATTATTTTTTTAATGATAATAAAACTAGTAGAGCAAGAGCCCGTGAGAGCCAGACCTTCGGAATTTTATAAAAGCTGAGAGTTCTTCTGTGTATGTCCCCAATACAGGTAAGAATGATCCCCGCCCATGAAACCTGATTAGTGGTGGCTTTGGCAGGTAACAGGTAGCAAAGGTGCATAAAATTCCACCTCAAATTTATTAATTTATAAAACTCAATTTTTTCATATTTTATTCGTAATAATATTAAAACTCGCGTTGCTCATTGCCAGACACTTGATATGGTTACAATCCTCTGACAGACACCCCTGAACTATTATAATTTGTAACTATACATACTTACGTTATATTATAAAAGCTAAATTTTATATATATTATTTGGACAACTATTGAATAATGTTTCCTTAATAGCCAGACAATTTCGAGGGTTATATCGTCCTGCCAGTCTATTGCGATCTTTTACTGCGCATCTACTGTTGTTTATTCCGAATTATTTAGTAATATTTTTTCTAATTTTTTGAGAAATTTCATTGAATAAAATTATTACAGTTTGAATAATAAATTTTTAAAATAATATTCCGTAAAATTTTATAATAAAATATCAATCATATCAAAAATCTAGTAACTTAATTCATGTTATTTTTAAATTTTATAAAGTTTATTATATTCAATTCAACTGAAATTTCAAAGTCATCAAAATTTTATTGTTTATTATACGAAAGAATAATTTTTTTGTGAGTTAGAAATTACACAGAAAAATAATACAACGTTTAATATACGTTTGATGTACGTTTACTATGAGCATAACCGCGCACTACATAATACACAATGAGCAGCTGATGCGCAGTAAAAGATCGCGATGCGCTAGTTCAGTCATGATGTAATTATGGTTCCACTGACAATTAAAGTGACAGTAGATTTTTTGAGTGCGTTTTGTTCGTTTTGTTTACCTAAATTATATCGTTTTTTCAATTTTATAAATATATTCCTAAAGTAAGTAGATAGCCTGTATCAAATATACAATCGTTTAGTTACCAATTACATACCTTTAAACTATTTTTTATGACCTGTAAACAATATTTTGAAATAAAATAAAAACAGTAAAAACGTATATGTCAAATTTATTGATGTTTTTGTTAAAAGTTTGGTTAGAATTAAATGTCAGTGGAACCAAAATGACATCACACTGAACTAGCGCAATAGACTGCACGCTCTATTTCACTCACACCCGTTGCTGCATATGCTCCTCTCACTCATAACTATTGTACACATTTAATGCGTCTGGCAGGACGATATAACTTGTCTGGCTATTAAGGAAACATTATTTAATAGTTGTCCAAATAATATATATAAAATTTAGCTTTTATAATATAACGTAAGTATAGTTACAAATTATAATAGTTCAGGGGTGTCTGGCAGAGGGTTGTAACCATATCAAGTGTTTGGCAATGAGCAACGCGAGTTTTAATATTATTACGAATAAAATATAAAAAAATTGAGTTTTATAAATTAATAAATTTGAGGTGGAATTTTATGCACCTTTGCTACCTGTTACCTGCCAAAGCCACCACTACTCAGGTTTCATGGGCGGGGTTCATTCTTACCTGTATTGGGGACATACACAGAAGAACTCTCAGCTTTTATAAAATTCCGAAGGTCTGGCTCTCACGGGCTCTTGGACTATAGTCAATTACAAAAACTTCATTTATATAATTCTTTTTTTACCTTTGACCTTTTAACAAATTTAAAGATTCCTGTACAGTAAAGGGGCTTGGGACTTTGTTTAAGATGTTACTTCTCTGTAATGTTGTTGGATGTTTTTTTCTACACATTGATTGAAAACTGCTCTATCAGGTGGTACCACTGAATATTGAATTTTAACGTTTGGTTCCTTTTCGTTTAACATTATCCAATTGATACACTTCCCTATGAATTTTTATTGACTGAAAGTTCCATATCTCTTTTTAGGCCACAGTTTGTGTAGCGAATGCTTAACCAAAGTACAGACGTGTCCGAATTGCCGATGCGCTTTGGGCAACACCAGAAACTTCACCCTAGAAAAACTGACCACCAAAGTTCTGTACACCTGCAGAAACAAAGAGGCGGGATGCGCGTTCGTAACGACATCGGAAAATATTCGCGAACACGAAAGTTCGTGCAATCTTACGACCATTCCGTGTTTGTTGAAATGCGGTCAAGATTTCAGGAAGGCACAGTTATGGCCTCACGTCACAGCTAAACACCAGGAATCGATTTTGAACACTGGAGAAATCCATAAAAGAGATGTGCACGATAAGCGGGAGAGTCATTTTGTGTTTTTCACTTGCGGAGAGTTGTTCAGGTTTTCTATTAAAGGTAAGTATATCATCAAAAATTTGTATGATTTCTCCGAAATCTTCTATGAAATCATCCATGGTTCGATATGATTTTGGTGAGTTCTTCAGAATCCTCCTTAATTGTATATAATTTCCAATGATCATTAATATTGTACCAATTCTCTCGAAGTTCTCCTATAAATTTTCTTGAGGAATATGCAAAAGTCCTTTTTCTGCTCTTCATTTGTTTTTTGATCCACCACAGGCTGTTTATATTTCGGCGAGAAAAATTGACTTTCAGTGATTATTTCGGTGATTTCGAGTGATAACCAGTATTTTGGGAGTGGTTTACCCCTCGGACTATACATAATATGTCTAATTATTTTGGCTAGACACTAATTTTTAGGTTTTAACTTTATGTTGACCTCGATTCGATAAATATGTTTTGTATTCACTTCTATTCCATTACCCTAACAATTTGTCCTTTTATATAGGTTCATTGTCCTCCCTGCGCTTTTAAGAAACGCATTATTTTCGATGACACCCTGTATACAGGGCGATTCTAAAATATATTTATAACCGTAACAGTTCCAAATTAAAAAATTACCTGCCACTGGAAAATTCAGCAAACTTTTGTTATTACTTCGTCATATTTCTAGATTTTTCTATAGTGCGATTTTGTAATTGGTAACTAAGAATGCATTTTGGATCCAATACATATCTATACTTCATTTTTAAAACTAGGAAGAGCGACTTGAATTTTCCGCGCCTAAATTCTAGCTTCTGATTGATTATTTGTTAAACAAGTTTACATAGACCAAAATGTCTAATAATGACATTTCTGAGTTGATACATTGTAGTCATTAACTTTAAAATTTTAAATATCTGCTTATTTCGTGTTTATTCTCTATTATTAATCCAAAATCAAATAAATCAGTTCTTTTCAGGACTAGTTCTAGTTCTGCAAATATTTCGCTTCCTTCTTCTCCATTTTCAAAAAGACGCCTTCTAACTAACAGAAAAACATACTATAATAAATTTGTACAAAAAATTCTAAGAGTTTAACTAACTTTAAAAATTGTTAGTGTTGTATCTAATCTAAATTTGGTAGCTGCCAACGTGAAGATAAACGTTACATTTTCTGCATGTATAAATTGTCTAGCTGTGACATCGCCATATTCTTAGTATTTCCATCTTCTGGAAGTATGGTTACTGTGTTTGTCTCGTGGTATTTCACTTGGTAGTTTATCTAACGGATTTGCTAATTTTTTCTTTGCAGTATTTCTACTTTCAGTAAGCACAAAACAATATATGATCTAAATTCTAGCTGCGATTTTTTTAACTTGTGTGATGTTATAATTTTTCCATTAATTTTCTATAATTTTGTCAATTGTGTTTCTGAATAGGGCCATTACCATTTTTTGGCTACTCCATTGTCGTGAAGGTCGACACCGCCCATGTATATATTATACTTAGCAACAACATTTGGTTGTGGTACTTGAACTACTTTCTTTTTTGTCTATTATATCCGTTTTCTGAAGAAATTTATGAAAGTACGTACACCTACAACGTGGCGAAGTTATAAAATTTGCCCCTTTTAGCACCTCATTCTTTCCATCGGTACACCAATCAAAGTATAGGAAATACTTTATTTCCAATGATAAAAAGGATAGCTGAATAAAATGTATGCAAGTCTGTACTTGAAAATGTATTTATGGACTAAACTACTATTTGACCGGTGATGCGCGTTAATGCAACACTTAACTATGAACTTGATAAGCTATATATAATGGTTCTTATAAATTGAAAATGTGTACGAGCGTTTTTATTTTTAACATTTTATTAAGTAAGGAGTAGAAGAAAATATTTTTAATTTGTTTAAAAAAAAATCTATGCTTAAAAGTGCTTGTCCAACAACGTAAATTTCGATCATTTTTACGAAAAACTATTTTATAAGAATATGAAAAAAATACAAAATTGTAACGTTTTTTAGTTCGTTGGTATTGCTAATGTAAAAATTATATACTGTTTATATATTATATATGTTTAAAAATATATAATTTAAGATGTGTAAACGCATCACCGATCAAAGATGGGTTAAAATGTTTTGCTTCAAATGAAACAAAAAGCCAGAATTCCCTGTGTAAATGTAACATCAATTCACGCCTCCTAGTTTAAAAATGAAGTACAGTTATTTACAAAAGTTCTCTTATGGTTAATTCTTATAGGTTCGTCGAATCAACAATACAAATTTAACGTCCAATGGATGGCCGACGAAAAAGAGAAAGCCAAATTCACGTTCGCTTTAGAAGTCATTGATAAGTCACCTTACAAATTAACTTATCATGTCGTGAATTTGGTTCAACCCATGAACGAGACACCGTTCAAAACCGGAGCTGTAACGATACCCTGGGACATGATCAAACCCTTCGTGTTGGAGAACGCGAGACACTTTCATTTTAGATATAACATTACGCATATCGATGTTCCGGTATCCGCCTAAAAATCGACAACGTATTTTAAAATTGAAATACACAAAACGAATCTTCATATTGATGGTATTTAAAAAAATTATTTAGAAAATAATTGAGAAACTTATATTTTTTATATTCAACATTCTGTGTATCAGTAACAAATTTGGCGCCCAACGTGGGGAAATAAATTATTATTTGAAAAGTTGCGTTACGAGTCAATTAATACGTAAATACTAAATAGCTCCTTATCAGTGATAAACGATTAAATTCGGTGCTGCCAGTTATTACTTTTTGGGTATAACTTTTAATGAATGATTGGGTTGATTTAGGAAGAAGTTTTATAAGGTATTCTACTACTCTTTAATGAACGCTTTATTTATGACGATTTCAGATAATATAAGTCGTTGAAATATCATCAAATATGAAGCTTTAGTTGTAATAATGTTGCACGGTGAAAAATATAATTTTCCATACTTATCAATTGTAATATATAAAAGTCTGTGATTTTGGATACTAATTTTAATTCTACGACAATGTTCATTTTTTTGTATTATTTTTAATTTCTAATGTTAACATTTGTTTTATTTTTTTCCGGTGATACCAACTGTTGTATTTTAATGGTTGATTATATAAGTTTTAATACCAAGTTTTTGTTATTAATTATTGTTTTATATTGGCATTAATCTTTATCGGACGGCTTTTCATTACAGTCTAGTAAACAAATAATGAAATTTTTTACTTTTAGTTATATAATAAAATCGTAATAGTATTTCTTGTGATACAGCTTTCATGAGAAGGCCACTTTGTGCCTGTTTTATTAGATTGGCAAAAATTAAGCAATTTGTTTCTTATTTTGGATTTTTAGCTATAAGATTGTTTCCTAAGTTACTTTAATAAAAAAAATTAAAATTAATTTGTTTTATTTTATTGCTCAAATTTCTCCATTTTATGTACCTTACTATGAATCATCGTCAAAGAGCTAATAATTTACGCCCACATTTTGTTAATTACAATTAAAGTTACTTTTGGAGTTCATCTGTGATCAGCTATTGACCTAATCAACTTTTCTCTTCTATTAATGGTGTCGAATGTTTTACTGTAGCTTTCTTTACACCAATGATTTAAAAATATTCCTTGTAGCTACTGAAAAAATGGCAACAGGACCTCTAAAAGTTGATGAAATTGTGTGTTTTGAATATGAAAAGTGCTTAATATGTTAAGCCCTACTTTTCTTTTTCTTTATAATTATACACGGGTAATGCACATTTAAAGTTTTACAATATATGAAAATTAAATTCATATTTTTGTTTATTTGTTTTTGTTTCATGCCCACCAGTGGGTAAGTGGGCCCATGACTTAAAATTACATGGTGGGACCAAATGCACCCCAAATTTTATTTCTTTCTCAAAATAGTTGGGCGTTTTTTTGTAGCATGAATAGATGTCGAAATATTTTAGTTGTAAGAGTTACCAAGTAACTTAATTTTTTTAGTTTCAGGATTTCAGTGATTTTCTTACTAAACTTTCATTTTTTTTTATTATTAAACTTTCATTTTTTGTAATAACGGATAACGAATGGAGTTGCATACATTTTTCTTGCCCATCAGCTGGGAAACGACTCGAGTTGAAGGCGTGATGGTATAGTTAAGGCCATGCTGGCTATAACTGTCTGTTCAGCATGGATCGTTGTTATTGCTCCCAGCCTGAAAAAGTTATAGACTATTTAATCTAAAATTCATTAAAAATCTTCCCTTTTTTGGCTTGATTTCATGATGACATAATCTATGAAGCCCAAATGCAAGATTAAAGAAGAATCCATTTTTCTACAGTTTATTAAACATTAATACAACTTGTAAACTACTCTATTTGTTTATTTTGATCAGCTTTCCTGCCATCTGTTGGAATAGCACCGACTTCTTTAAGCAACTTTTTCTTCTCCTCAAAATAATTTTTAAACCATTCTATGTGTTCTATTTTCGCCTCTACTGTTAAATAAGGATTTTTAGATAGACCCACACAAACTAATTCCATAAAATGTCTTATAGGTCCCTTTGGTGGACACCATGATTCTAAATGCTCTTCCAGAAAGATGTGTTTGGAAAAATCTACATTCTTTTCCGCTTCTAAACCTGTAAAAATTATTGAATTTATTTATTATTAAAGGCAATTGATATGAAATCAACTACCTTGTTCATTATCTATAGGAAACTTCCACAATTTTCCCTGTTCTGTCCATAAAATCATCTCTTGGAAATAATTAGCAGGAGGGTGAGTAATGGCCAATTTCAATTCTTTTTCATACAATTTTTGCCAAGTTTTCAGATTTGTTTCTTTTAAATCTTTATTAGTGAATATACCCAAAGGTTTTGCTCCAAATAGGTCAATTTTTTCAACAACTCTACAAAAAATATTAATTTTACAATGGAAGCAAAGAGTTATAATTGTAATTTACATTGATGTTGGTGGTCTGGATCTAGGTTGGTAACTCTGTCTTGCTCTAGGTTGAGTCCTAACACCATCCTGCCTTTTTGTTTGCACATTTTGCAAAATATTTCTTACTTGCTCAGCTTTGGATTTTTGAACTGATTTTGGTTCTCTATCGATCTTCATGCCCTTCATAATTTCACTAAAAATTCAAAAATACTTCAACTGGTTTCTAAATATTAGTTGTAAACGTACTTTAAGCTTTTTGATGATTCTTTGGACTCTATTGGACTAAGAAGTTTAGTTAACAGCTCTGATTCTGTTTGTTTTGTATCTCCACCAATATCTTTAGCTACTTCTCCCACTGCTTTTTCCAACTTTTTCTCTAAAAAGAATATTTGAGCGGTAAGTTAACATGATCATTTTAACATTGCATAACTTACCATTAGTTTCAACGCGCCTTGCTTCCCTTTGTTCTTTAGGTACTCTCTTATCTTTGGGCCTTGCTAATTTTAATTCTGATGTCTTAGCCACCGTATCGTTCTTAAAATACAAAAATAAAATCACCAGAAGTAATGATAAATAGTTCTAATTATGTACCTTTATAAGTTGTTGCAACAGACTGTTTAATTTAGTCATAGTTTCTTCATTATTTTTTGGTGGAACCGTTTTTGCTTTAACGATTTTTGTCTTAGTTTTAACATCCTCATCACTATCAGAACTACTGCTGCTGCTGCTACTACTAGAACTACTGTCCTTATTAGTTGTACTTTTTCTTACTAAGAAGCATTTTTGTATTGGAGTTGGCGTTAGGATTACGTTTTTTTGTGTTGTAACATTCCTAGAACATAATTTTTATTTAATATGAATATTTATTTTAATTTATGTATCATGTACCTCCAAATAATATTTAATTTGTTTAAATTCATTTTTAAAATTTTGTTTGAAAGTTAGGTTATATATATTTATTAATTGCCGTTTCTTCTTCTTTTTTTACTGTTTACACTGGCCTTTAAATATTCGGAATAAAAACTCATCTCAGGGCAGTAGCCACGACTAACCACAAATGCTTACCGAAAGAAAATTGGTTTTGTAAAAAATTACTACAATTTTTTTTATCTCTCACGCTACCGTTAAATACGCTTTGTGACTTCGTAAATATAAGAAAAAGCATGAAAAGCGATAGCGAATTCCTCTAGTTAGTCGATTGTAAAACACATGACATTTCACTTTTTTACAGTTACCTATAATTTCCGAAACGTTGACTTCTGCTGATAAATAAAAGATGGTGCAGTAAACATACATTTTAAAAATATAAACTACGAGGTTTTAGAATTAAACAACTTTTATATAAAAAAATAATTTATTTTTAATATAGTGCGTGGAACATTCTTTTGGTATTTAGTGAGCTGAGATCAACTACCTATACCTTATAAAGCTTACAATAGTAAGTACTATTTTAATAACATCGAACCTATTCTTATAGAACTTAAAATAATACAACTTTTTATCTTATGAGTATTCACAACATTCTTGAATATCTAAAAAGGGACTAGAAATAGAAAAATTCAGAAATAAAGTTTATAGATAGGTACAGTAATCATTAATCCTTCACATATATGAATGTAATATACTGTTCTCTTTCCTCTCCTCCAATATTGGTCAATGAAGCCAGATTTCAAATATTCAAATTGAAAATTATAACTACTTCCTATACAACGTGCTCTGATTGCATAGCTGTGTAATAATTGATTTGTAAAGGTAAGGAATACAGGGTGGGCCACTATAGGAACGTCATCGATTGATATCTACGAAAATATGAACAAAAAATTTGAAAATTTGGGAATTCAACCCAAAGTAAGTAAACAAGGGTATCTTTATAGTAACAACTGATATTTACATTAGGGCTTGCAAGGGTAATTTTTGACGTAAAAACTTAAATAATGTCAAAGACGCTTAGACTTAGATATACTTAAGACATGATGCAATAAAATCTGCCATATACAAAATAAGCGACTTAAGGTGTATTATTAGATGAAAATATTTTAGCTGAATAGGCCCTAAAACGTCTAGCAAGTTCCCAAATTTTTAAATTTTTCCTTATACCTTAATCGGAGATCATTGATAAATTTATATATCATGCCAATGGGAAGGTATGTAGGTACCTTAAGTTGTAGAAGGGTTAAGATTGTACTTACTATCTATGTTTACATTACATATTGTACGTAAAAGTCTGTACAAAATAAAAATATCATATTGTTCTCATTTCAAAAGCCTACACATCACTGTGTGATTACAACAAAATCTTTGGTATTTATAGTTGTACGCTAAACGTTTACAATTTTAGGCCAGCATCCAGATTTCAAACTTGATAATTTACCTATATCATGCCAATTATTAGTTAAACGACTAAAGAAATAAATAATAAGAAGTGCCCTTGGTTGATTTAGGTATAACAATTATTTTACTTGTCTTCCACTTTTGGCACTTTTGTGTGAGAATAACAATTTATTGAATTAGTTTTATTCCTCCTTATTCCACACCTACCATTAATTATGGGTTATAATCATGTTATAATGGACCAGCCGTTAATTAACCGTTTCTGAAATTGTGTATTATTTCGTCGGTTCTTCTGTACATTTTCTTTCTATGTCCCCCATATTATGCACGGTATTAATTTCTTGGTACTATCTTTTATAATCTTCTAATTTTCCTTTCTTTTTGTAGTATCCAACTATTCTGTTTATATCAATCTATCTTTCTTTGCTCTTTTTGGTTTATATAATTTTTTTGTATCCTTATTGTTATAGGTAACTATTTGAAGTTCAATTCTTTCATCAAACCATTAAAACAATATGGTTCGTTTTGGCAAAATTGGTCGATTTATCCAATAATTAGCGCTGTATAGTTTATACATTAAAACATTTTCAAATAAATATATACATGGTTGGAAACTGACTCAAATTCTACGTAATTAATCATAAAATTCTAAATACAAAAAGCAACTTTTTCTAAAACCCGCCTTTTTTTATTATCTATCATCTATCTCGCTTCTTTCCAACAATTCCCTTAATGCTGAAATGTAGGTTTGAGCCATTTGAAGGGTTTCGAATTTGCTAAGTTTCTGTTCCGCATCTAGACTTGGTATAACTTCTCTTAATCTATCAAATGCTTCGTTCAATCCATTCATTCTTCGTCTTTCTCTTGCATTCGCTGCCAATCTTCGTTTTTTCATGATGGTGGGCGAAGCGGGACGGTCCCTGACCATGATTTTCCGCCTACCTTAATAAAAGACAAAAAATTTAATGAATTAAAATTGGCAGTACAAATATTTGTTGCCAGGAGTACGATTCATTGACTAGGTACCTCTGTATAAAAATTATGCTTCTATGCTTTAGGATAACGACATCATTAATTATTAAATTTCGAGATACGATAAGATCTTGCAATTCTGTGAACAGCCGCATAGTATTAATATGCTAAGTCGAGAGTGTTCTTTAACCCAGTTCGAAATCAAAAGTAAACTCATCATCATAAAACTATCATTAAAATAAGTAACTAAGAATGCATATAAGTGATACAATAAATGAATGAATACAATTAAATGTATCTTGATGTTTATTTTGCAACGTAGAAGAAAGTATATTCCTAAATATTCTAAAAAATAATAATTTCAGAGATTATTTCATGATCCTTCGAGCCGGATATATCTTGAAACCAGAGAACAAATCAGCTTTATAGCATGATCTAATTCCCTAATTTTGTCATATTAGATAATGAAAAGAAAAAATTAAGAGACTCGTATATTCTATAGTGTCAGTAGACATTCTGTTATGAAATAGAGAAAATTACATTATGTATATTGTGTGTTTGTTTTAATCCAGGTTGGCTATGATAGTCAAATATAGCTAACTATATGTATAGTAATAATGACATTTTTAAAATTCTTGTTTGCAAACAGCCCACCCAAAACTATAATGTTGCATCGATAAGTCATACTCATTGATCCCTTTTATAAAATTATCGTAAAAGTAATTTTTAACCATTTATACACGGTGATTCAACTTTTATCGTCAGGTATCCGATAAACTATGATCTAATTTTACTTTCTTTTTCTCATCAAGTTTATAGAAACGTGCATAGTTATTTTTAATTTTGCCTCAAAAACAAAGCAAGATACGAAAAAAACTCCACAGACAAATAGTTTTATGTTTAGTTAATCAATGTAAATAGATATATGAAAGATTAAAAAAAATACGGGGAAACTTTTTTTGTGCCGAAAACTAATCGAAGTGCCCTGTGAAACTGTAAACATATACTATTTTTTGTATTATTAAAAATCGCTTGACCTGAGCGAGGATAAAACTCACGACACGTCCGTTAACGTTCTACGCTTTCAAGCGCTAGAACATCTCGACCAACGAGAATTTTTTTTGCTAGATGTGGTTGGAATAGAACAAAATATCAAACTTTCGCTGAGAGAATAAAATGCATTTTATCAATTTTTAATGACCAATTATATTTAAAAAAGAGAAAGAAAATGTATGCATGGGTATTATCTGGTAAGCTAAATTAATAATGACCTCAAAATACTACTAAACTTAAAATTAAGTCCAAAAACAGACGTCCTCTGGGTATCGATTTGCAGCTGTTAAAGTAATGAATACGGATATGGACGTTCTGCCCTCAAATGAATCTAAAGTGGACGTTTATTGGACTATGTATGCTGACGACATAGTCATATTCGCTAATGGCAAGTTTAGTAATATCCTGTGTGATATAGTCCAACGAGGACTAGAACATACCAAAAGATGGTGCCGTGAAGTGGGACTTAGTATAAACCCTACAAAAACAACACAGTAGCCTTTTCAAGGAAAAGAAAACAATCTCAAAACCGTTAAATTAGACGGGATAGATATAGAATGGAAAAATGAAGTCAAATATCTAGTCCTAACCCTGGACAACAAACTTCTCTGGAACACACATGAGAAGGAAGTAGTAAATAAGGCCACAAAAGCCGTAATGGTATGAAGAAACATTGCAGGTAAACGATGGGGATGTAACCCAAACATACTGCGATGGATGTATACTGCAATAGTGAGACCAATTATCACTTACGGGGCTATAGCCTGGAGTAACAGAACTAGTTTAGCTACTACGAGAGGTAATATCTCAAAAGTACTAAGACTAGCCTGTGTTTGTATTACTGGTGCAATGAGAATCTGTCCTACGGCCGCAATGGAGGTGATCTTAAACCTCGCCCCTCTACATTTGATGATAGAGAATGAGGCAAAAAGGACACGATATAGAATGATCAGGAACAGAGTAATCAGACGAAAGTCTACTTGCTTCAGGACTAAAGATACCTGGGACATGCCCCAGGATGAAATGCTAAAGAAGTACAGTTTTGTGAAAAACTTCAAAACCACAGAGCTGGGCTGCAAAAAAGAATGGAACCAAGAATCCATCGCACTTGCAACCGAAAGACGTGCTATTCAGTGGTATACGGACGGTTCCAAAACCATAGAAGGAACTGGAATAGGGGTGTATGGGCCGAGGACCAAGCAATCCGAAAGCTTGGCAAAATACCCAAGCATCTTCCAGGCGGAAATTCACGCCATCGAGAAGTGTATCCAGTTTAACATCGAGAGAAACTATCATAGACAAGAGATTATCATCATGTCCGATAGTCAAGCAGCCATCAAAGCGCTCTCTTACGTTATTAGCTCAAAAATGGTCTGAAGATGCCTAGAACAATTGAATGAGCTAGCAGGATATGTATTGTAACAGGGATCCTTAACGGGCATTGCCGACTAAAAGGACATCTAAGTAAACTATGAGTAGTAGAGGATAGTGAGTGCAAATTCTGTGAGGAGGAGGAGGACGAAACCTCCATTCACATCCTAACTGAATGTGTAGTACTCTAGAATCCAAGGGCACTACATCTAGGAGGATATCAAATAGAAGAGGGAGATTTACCCAACTTAAAGCCATTTCAAATCCTACACTTCCTTGAGAAAATAGGATTGGAAGGGTCGTTATAGGCATTGAGACATTTCCATAGTGCATTGGCGACAGAAGGGGGCACAATAGATCTTTTAGGTCGCAGTGTATTAACACCCTATTCTCAACATAACATAACATAACATGTGTGCTGTCTGAACACTAATAATTAGATTGACAAATTTGTAACATTTAAAATTAAAAAAAAAATAATAGTCGCCTGGTCAACAAATATGAACTGTGATTGTTGAATTTTATCCATTTCATCATATCCGTAGAGTGTTCTTGTTAGAATGGATGTGAAATATATTCCTTTAGGTGAACGCAATAGCCTACTGTTTCGTTCTGTAGTCTGTGCATAGAATAGATAATATTCATGCGGGTGTAGAAAAATCTAATAATATAATACAGATTGACGTGTCAAATTTCCATAACCACCTTGGATATGAAACTTAAAGTCATACCAGGTGACAATGAGACCATGTTCACGTTTATATCGCTTTTGTTTATAAAACGATTTGTTTCAAATTTGAGACAAACCTACTAGACACTTTTAGATACCTAAATCAAATGACCAACTTCCGGTTTTACCGAAAATGTTTGATTTTTTAAAATTAACTGAATATATTGTTTTTTTGGAATCTATTGTTTAAATTATCAAATAGTGTTGCCAAATTTTCATTTTTACCAAATAAAATATTTTTTTTGCGGAATGTGTTTCAACCTGGGGGTCGATTCTCGACTCGTAGGAATTTTTTCCTATAGGAATTTTTGACATTTTTATATACATCGAAAATTTATGACATTTTCCTACATATAGGAAAGTGTCACAAATTCCTATAGGAAAAGGTTCCTACAAGTCGAGAATCGACCCACTGGTGTGAATTTACTATTTTCTAAAATTTAATAGACAATATAGATGAAAGAAATTGTGTGTCCGTTTTCTAACTCTTTATTATTTTTCAACAATTACCTACATGAAATAGACATTTTTTTTCTGATTATGATAAAATGATCGACGAAGACACTAATAACTATAATAACTATGCTAATCCTGAATAGCCATGAACTGGAAAATTATGTTCTAATGGCCTCAGATAACTCAAAACGAAAGCTATTTTACAAATGAGCTAAAAATAAATCCGTTAGATAAAAAATAAATTTCTGAAACTTCTTTTTTACCAAAATATCACTTTTTAGATGGCGAATTTTAAGGAGAGTGGAGGAATATTATTAAATATTTTTTTTTCAGATGCCGGGAAATTTTACAAGGAAAACCACAATTCTTTCATATAAGGAAGAAGATTTACAAAATGCATTATTTGCGATAAGAAATGATGGCAGAAAAATAAGGGATGCAGAGGGCATTCAATATTCCTGAATCGACACTCAGAAAAAACTGTCAGAAAATGAGCCGAAGCCTCCTCTTTTGGGTCGCAAGCCTGTGTTTTGAGAGGAAAAGAGTACGTTTTAACGCTAGCAAAGCTATTTTATGGCCTAACACCCAGGTGTCTCAGCTTTTAGATATGCTGAGCAACAATGACATTGCCCATAAATTCGACAAGAAAAAGGGATTAGCTGGGAAGGACTGGCTATATAGATTTTTAAGGAGATCACCTGTTATAAGGCTACGGCAGCCTGAAGGAATCAGTTTGAATAGGATTGCATCTTTTAATAAGGACTCAACCAAATTATTTTTTCAAAACTTCAAACTATCATTGAAAGATTTAAGTTTGAACCCAAGAGTGTTTACAACATGGATGAGACAGGTATCACCACAGTGCAGAACAAATGCCCTAGAGTTTATGCTCGTAAGGGATCTAAAAAAGTAGGAGCTGCAATTTCTGGCAAAAGAGGAAGAACAATAACAGCTGTAGTTTGTATGAATGCGGTTGGGAACTACATCCCTCCCATAATAATATATCCTAGGAAAAGGATGTCCAAAACTCTCGAGAAAAATGGACCAATTGGGGCGTTGTACAAATGTTCTAAGAACGGTTGGATCAATTGCGGACTTTTTCTTCAGTGGCTTCAGTGTTGGTTTAATCTTATTCTTAATACTTTTAATGCGCACGATCCCTCAACACTTGGTGCGCAAGAGCACTTTTGTGATTTCAGCAGTATTGTACTTTAAATATTTGATTTTTTCCTAAAATTGATTTACGTGCTGAGAGTAGACTAAATAGCACCCCCATTACGGTATTTACATTTAAATTATCTACAATGCTATCAGTGCTATAACGATTTTCGCTTAAGTGTGCACAATTCCCCCACTCTTCCTTACCAATCTGACAATTTATACCATGTACCACTTAATAAAATTATTTTTCATTTCATAGAATTTTTTATTTAACAAATTGGTAACAAATAAAATTTGGCAACTCTGTCATATGTAATATGAACCATAATTTCAAAAAACATGAAATATATAAGGTGATCCTTCTAAAAAATCAAACTTAATGTCATTTTTGGTAAAACCGGTAGTGGACCATTTTATATATGTATAAAAAGGGTCAATTCGAAATTAGGTCTAACAGTTTTCTTCCAAATTTGATCCAAATCGCTTCATACCGTGGCATCGGTTTCATTATCACCCAGTATGTTGTGAAACTGAATGTCTATAAGTTTATTTCCTATACATTTTAGACCATGGAGTCTATATTAGCAGAAATTAGTCTTTAGACGAAGGTTTTAAATTAAAATAAAAGTTAAATTAAATTAATAAAAAAATTGTTTAGTAAGCATATTACTCGATGATGTTGGATGCGTAAGCATCTATCAATATTCAATGATCAACAGCATCGTTTAAACTTATTAGCAACGATCGTCTTCCTCGATAATATCAAAAACAAAACTAAACAGATTGTAAACAAAATTAACTGCATCAGAAAAAACGGATATCATCCTGTCAATAAATCGCACCCGGCAAGCGCCAATTTGCTAGCAATCGCCTACCTCTCGAGCTTTTTCTATCCTGATTAAGCACCACCGTTGTTCTTTTTTCATCTTCATTATTGAACTCGCTTCTTTTCAACGTAAAAAAATTAAAATTGCCGTAATGACATTTCTCTTCTTCCGTTAACGAACCCAGATCGACGAAATCGCTACTAGTTGATACGAAACTGTCGTACGTATTGACGTCGTAAATCTCTTCGACATCGCTTGTCCGGGACTTGGCGCCTAGGCGCTGGGCGTCGAGCTGGGGGAAGTAGGGGGCCATCGGAGGGTACTGGGCGTCTGACCAGGTGTGCTGGTAGCAGGGGTAGTAGGGTTTCATGATGTCCATTTTTTTCGTGAGCGGTGATGGTTAACTGCAAATTAAAATTAATAAAATTATATTATTACCTTTTATAGATATAAAAAATGAAGATTTATTCATGTTTTGGATAATTTTGGGGGTTGTTGAAAGCAATAAAAACTTAAATAAAATGTTATTGCAATAAAATATATATTTTTTTCATTAAAATAAGATTTCTCCATATTGGTTTTACATGTCCAGTTACTTTGGTATCCAAACAAATTTACCGAAAGGTAAGGCATTCTCTCAGTACGAAGTCATGGTAAGGGAAGCAAAAGCGATACTTGAGTTTGCCTCGGACAATTCGTGCATTTTAGGGCATTATTTTGTAATTTTGGCGTATATATTTGACGTATATATTTTACTTATTTAAAAAACAAATAGTTACAAGCAGTACTATAAATAACCGGAGTTGCTGTGTTGTAAATTATAAAAATAAAAAAGAGTGTAAATTTTATAAATTTTCAGTAGCAAAATGGAAATTAAATCAAAGAAATAAACGTACTTATAATTGTAGTAAGAACGAAAAAGTAATAACAAACCTTTATTTTTGTAACAAGAGTATCTAATACCTATTGAAAACAGTAGACATCAGAAGACTGAAAGGTTTTATATACCTAAATGATTATTATTTTACGATGTTCTTCAAAATTCCTTGAGTACAATATGTTCAGATAGGATTTTATTTCTGCCTTTAATTATTGCCTGTATCTGGAATGCAATTTTTTAATTGGAAAACAGTTATTTAATAATTCATTCTGTTTTCTTTTAAACTAAAAATGAAGAAACCAAGTATAAATTACATTCGAAAATTACCCAATATTACAACTTTTTTCTTGGGAATAAATATTGAATCCACGTTTGACAATAACCTTTAAATTCATTAGGCTACTTTTCATACACTTTCTCGTAAATACTATTGCCTAATTTATTTCTATTAAAAATGATACTGCCAATACACGCAAAATCGCCCTTTAGTACATATTTTAGTTAAAACGAATATCGGAGTATAAAAGTTAGTTGAACAAATTTCATACATCAATTTTTGTAAGACATAATTTAACGAAAATTTATTGAAATTACAGAACAGATTTAAGTTTACATATTTTTTGTGACTCTAGCAAATTGGTCTATGGGTCTATGGTAGTTGTATTTAATTTGAACTGATTCAAGCAAAATAAAAAATTGCACCTATCAAAATTATGAACTTGTCACGTATCAAATTGATGTCAGCAATAATTGGGGTTAGACAATAAAGATAATTGATATATTTATCAAAATAAAATAGTAGTTTGTGCAAGAAGAGTGAATATTATTTCCACACGGACAATATAGGACTTACATACAAGGACAATGCAACAAACCTAACAAAATAAAATTGACATTAATAACATAAGAAATTGAGTAACATAAGTTTTTCTTTTAATTTTTAATTTTTTTGTATACTTTTTACATATCATGTTGTACCCGTAACGTAAAAATAGTATATTATGCAACGATCATGTAATGATGGTTATTAATACACGAGCATTAACCGGGATACGAAACGAGCCAAAGGCGAGTTTCGTATGGTTTATGCGAGTGTTTTAATAACCATTACATGAGAGTTGCATACGCTATTTTTTCTACACCCGATAAATAATCAAGACCTATAAATATTCTATTTATATTGGTATTGAACACAATAACAGTAATTACTCGTATTTCTATAAAAAATTCTACAAAATTGTAATTAATGGTATTACTTCAGGTATTGGTATTTCCCTAGATTTTTGCGGTAAAATATTTTGTACTGTATTTTCTGCTTTCTCCGATATGTGTGGAGGAGTCTTCTATATCGCTAATATCAGACATTATAATATTATAATTATCGAAGTTTAGCTACCTACGAAAATTTAATACGTTTTGACAACTAAAATAATTACATAGGAACCTAGGACAAACGTCAAACAGCATGCTTGATTGAAAAATTGTAGGTTTCTATTGATTAAAAATCTGTATCGTAATGAAAAATCTGTATCATAATGGGTATCATTATGAAACGGATTATGGGCATATAAGTGCATTATTATAATACGGGTGTAGAAAAAAGACTTTTTAGTTCATGGTTTTTTACGTTGAAAGAAATTGTCAATAAGAGCTGTCAACAATGTCTTGTCATAAGCGTAGCATTATTATTATTACTTTTCTTCCGCTTTATTTAAACAATTCTTTTGATTTTGTTTTATCTATTTATGTTAAATACAAAATGCTGCTGCTACAAGTATAAGTATAATATTAACATTTTGGCACATATTGGTGATTTCATTAGCAGGTTAGTCCAGGGAATAGGAAGAGAAAACGTGTTGGATGTCTGTGCACTTTATCGTGTTACTAAAAAGTAAAGTGCTTCGAGTAGAATAGATCAATCAATTATAATATGAAGTATTTTGTAAATTGTAGAAATTGACATTAATTTTCTTTTATTTTCAAGGGACTGTACATCAAATCTGTGGGGGGATAGATGCCTCTAACCTTGTAATTTAAAAACTGTAAAAATTTGCATTGCACCCGTTCACTGCAACTCTGTCTTCGGATACCAAATCAAAGAAGCATATTCCAACTTGGAATGAACTAATGAAAAGTAGGGTGACTTTAAGGCAGCTTCAGTTCTAAACTTTTGACAATTACGAAATAAAAATCCTAACTTTTTATTTGCAGATTTAGTAATAGTATTAACATGTACATTAAAAGTTAGCTCCGAATCAAATATAACACCTAGATCTTTAGTTTGATCACACCTGACTAGTTCTTAATTATTAATGGTATGGTTAAAATTTCTGCCTAAACTTATAGCTTTGCATTTTCGTATGTTGAGAAACAATTTATTGCTCATTGAAGGAATAATCAATCATATACAGGGTGATTTATAACTATTGGGACATAGATTAAGGGCAGGTTATTTAGATCAAAATATGGCGATAGGACCAAATATACCTTAATAAAATATGGCTGTGGAATAAGATACAGGGCGTTAAAGTCGAATTTTTTTATAATCTCACTGTATATTTATGAATTGTTATCAAAATCGGCTCAAAGGCATATCTTTGGACAAGGGATATTATTTTATGTATTATTTCACATTTTTTACAGGGGGCGCCACGAGAATGATTCCTGATGATGAAATTAAGTAGAAAATATTACGTAAACATAATTTCTACGTAATATTGGTACTCCTGTTTAAACACGATAATTTCACCTGTTTTCGAGAAGAACGCAATTGAACAGTTCAGAGACTCAGAAGGATATTTCAAAAAATATTTTATTTATGAAAAGTGTGCTTTGGACTGTCAGATAATAGGCCTTTTCATCACAATTTTTTTATGTGCGCATGCGTCAGTATCAGCCATCTTTTTCGTACTGTTTTTGTAAACAAGCATGTTAAAATGCCCACGTGAAAAAAATTATAATCGATAAATATTAATTTAAGTACATTCATTTAAAAAAAGGAAGAAAACGCAAAGCAATAATAAGTTTAGTATTTTAATTGAAAAAATACATTTTTGCATTCAATTATAATAATTATGTTATCTGTACGGAAAGGAACAACAAAACGGTGTTGTTATGGAGTATGTAAAGTGACACACTAAGGGTGTGCTTATTAACTTACTCCAGAGTAACGGATTAACTCCATGTCGTTCATTTACTTACTCTAGATGTTTGAAGAGCCATCTAGAGTTAACTCTGAAGCGTTTAAAAACTTGAAAATTTCTACTCTCGAATTAACTCTCCTGACTCTACTATCCGAGGAGAGTTTTTATTAACTCTGGCATCTGACATATTAATAATAACAAGACAAGGACATAGTGACCTATCAATTTTGTGGTGTGGCTATGGTTTCTTTTTGGTTACAATGGAGGAATTTGATATTGTAAACGTAAATTCTAATTCGAAAATAAATGTATTGCCTATATGAATCTGGAGTAGCTAACAGCCAAACATTGGGTTGTTACATCCACAATTGGCCTTCCCTCTAAATTATTATTAGTTAAATGAGGGCCCAAAATATTAATGATATTTTCGAATACATCTTTAGACCTCCTAAAATAATTTTTGAAGTGCTGAGCTCTTAAATCATATAACACATAATTTAGAAAAAAGTATATAAGTTATTATTGTTTCCTGTTTTATTGTTAATTGTGTCTCTATTTCGTTAAAAAAAGTGTGATGTGTTCAACACATGACTTTCCTGTCTAGTTATTACAGGCTTTTCAGATTATTTTGTACAACAAATGTATCACCCCTGTAAATGTTTAGAGGATGAACTAAATAAATATATTTTTCACATACATTTTATTCGAAACATTTTTTAATATAATTTCATTGCCAACGAAAATACTGAAAAATTAAAATTTAACACTTTTCCTCAAATTTTTCAATTATGGTCCATTGTACAGAAATCATGTATAACACAAAAATTCTAGAGAATGATATCGTAAACAACTTTTATTTGAAGAATCTTTTTCTCAAATCGTAAATAAGATAAATAAGAGAGATACGCTTTAAATTAAAAAAACGACACTCCATAAAGTGCCCTCCTCAGATATTTCGACTATGCCCAAAATTTAATCAGCGCACCACAGGATGATGGATTAAGGTTTAAGTTTAAAATTTGGTGTTTTTCTCTTCATCTGCGTTTGAGTTATATCTTCAAAATTCTAAATTTGCACATTTCCCCAAATATCTCGAATACGGTCCATTTTGGTCCAGAAATTATGTATAGAACAAAAATTATAGAAAATGACATCACAAGCAACTTTTGTTTAAACAATTTTCGTATAAAGTTAATTTTGCACTTTTTGTCAAATTTCTCGAATACGAACCATTTTAGGAAAATTATATGTAGAACAAAAATTATAGAGAATTACATCACAAGCAACTTTTATTTGACAAATGTTCTTGTCCAAGCGTAAATAATATATATATTCCACAAAGTAGAAAAACGACTT